GAATGGGTATGAAGCAAAGGTGAGGCTGCAGCTCACAGCTGCCAGCCCAGCCGCACTCTTCCCTACAGCAAGCTGTGCAGGAGATTCTGACCTCCCTTATCCAGCCCTGGAGGTGCAGAAACAATGCAGCATAGTTGAGCACTTATATTTGGGTTTAAAGCACTGCTCTGGTATTTTATATGGATGTATACACTGTTGCGCAAACACATTTAACCCTCACAACAACCCTTTCTGTAGATGCTGTTCTATTAGTATTCCCATTTTACACATGATTATTGAGTCCTTTCCTTGGCATCCCATTTAATCTTCACAGCAACTCCAGGAAGTAGGCATGATCAGTCCATTTTATAATGAGGAAATAGAGACTTGGAGTGGTTCTGTGACCTGTACAAGGTCACACAGCAGTTAAGTGGCAGAGCTGGGGTGCATATCCTGGCTGGCCTGACCCTAGAGCCAAGGCTTGATCCCTAAAAAGACACTGCCTGTCACTCTGAGACCCCTATGTTGCCCAGCATATGAAAGCAGGAACTGATAGATGTCCTGGGTTCTGTGTGTGGCATCTCCACTAAAAGCCTCCCCTACTTCTGTACACTGGGAAGGCCTCTGTGCTACGCCCACCAACACATGGACCATGCTGTTATAACTCCATTTTAGTGTCTCCTTATAGAGATCTTAAGCCTCTTACCTTCTTACGAGGGCAGGGATCATGTCTGGCTTGTTCACTGTATCCCTGATGCCTACCTCAATGCCTGGCACATAAAGGCTCTTCAAAAAAGTGTTTATTGAGTGACTAAGTGAATGAATGAATGACCTGGTTTACTTATTTACCCAAAGGTCTGGAGCAGAGCCTCTCCAGGACACTTTGCTTACAGGAAGTATTTCCAGTGCCCTTGGGGGTAAGACACAGTGGGGACTAGAACTTCCTATAAGCCCTGTCTTCATCTGTCCCCAGGTATATGGAGCATCCAACGTGGAGCTCATCACCCGGACACGGACAGAGCATCTTTCAGAACAGCACAAGGGCAAGGTCAAAGGTAATGTGGCAGAGGTGGATGGGAGAGGTGTTGCAGGATTGCAGGAACCAGCTCCCACTTCAGCCCTTCTATCAGTATTCCCACTGGCATCCTAGCAAGAGCCCAGTTGCTTTATTTAGGCAAATAGACTTCAATTCAGATGCCAAGCCCTCATGATTGGTAGTGGCTACCTAGAGTACTAAGAAGATTTTAAGGACTCATCTGGATTCAGTGGAGAGGCATGCTACAAGTGATTACTAATGTCAATATTGGGTTTGGGAAGGGAGAGAAATGTCACGTATGCCATTTATTGGCCATTCTAGTTCTAGTTGCATATATCCTAGGTAGAAAGTTGGGGGACCTTGCCACAGATTCTGTATGTCCACTGATGCCACATCTGATTCTCTGGGTACCAGTTACCATATCTGAGGTGAAAGGCATAATTTCTACCTCACAGGGGAACAGAATGAAGCCATGAATATGAGAGTGCTTGAAACATAACACACATGTGCACGCGCACACCCCAAAATGCTCACGGAGGGCGGGCGTAGTGTCCAGGGTCACCAAGCTGGAGAGCAGCACTTTTGAAAGTTGCCCCTGAGCCCTAGGCCTACTTTACTGTTTAACCTGTGTGCACAGAGGTCCTGGCCCCTGGCCCTTGGAGCCCTCAGTTTCCTTCAGGTGAAGGTGCCTGGGTATGTGGTTGGGTGAGCAGGCCCCACTCCAGGAACCGGCCTCCTCCCTAGGTCTTGGATGCTGTCACCTCTGATGAGGTGCCCAGGTGTGTGTGGAGCTGCAGTGTCCTCTGAGATGCCACATTTCTTGTAGGCTGTAAGACGCCTTTGCAGTCCTTCCTGGGAATTGCTGAGCAGCACGGGGGCCCCCAAAATGGGGTGAGTGTGTGCAGGGGTACCCCTAAGTGGAGGGGTGTGGATGTGACTGAGGAGGAGGCTTGGGAGGTGTCCTTAGCATGGCCTTTGTGGACCTCCTTTCCACAATGCCCAAGGTCATGTCAGTGCCACACTGGCAGAGGGGACAGCTTGGGGGCCCTGTGGCACCAAATGAGCTGGCCTGGCATCAGGAACTGAGGGGAGCTCCTGGGCCCCTCCCATGTGGTACAGACCCTGATCACTCAGACTCTGAGCCAAGCCAACCCCACTGCCATCACTGCAGAAGAATACTTCAACCCCAACTTTGAGCTGGGCAACCGTGATATGGGCCGCCCCATGGAACTGACCACCAAGACACAGAAGTGAGGCCCCTACCGTGCTGGGAGGGTTGGGGGCTGGGGCTCCAGCAAATGCTGGGAGGCCATGGCTTCCTGCAGTGTCCCTCACCCCTTGGGATCTGGTGGGGGCAGGTTCAAGGCCAAGCTGTGGCTGTGTGAGGAGCATCCCCTGTCCCTGTGTGAGCAGGTGGCCCCCATCATTGACCTCATGGCCGTCAGCAATGCGCTTTTTGCCAAGCTTCGGGACTTCATCACCCTGCGCCTGCCTCCTGGCTTCCCGGTCAAAATTGGTGAGACCTCATGGCCATTTCCCCTGAGCCTGTGGTGTGCCGTCCGGGGTTTAGATGAGGTTGGGGCGGGGCTGAGGCTGAGGTGTGAGGGGCTGGGTGGTGGCGCCTGATGGTTTTCTCATCCTCAGAAATCCCGATCTTCCACATCCTTAACGCCCGCATCACCTTTGGGAACCTCAATGGCTGTGATGAGCCGGTGCCATCGGTGCGAGGCAGCCCCAGCAGCGAGACGCCTTCCCCAGGCAGCGACTCCTCCAGCGTCAGCAGCTCCAGCTCCACGAGTGAGGCCCCCTCCCCCTGAGGACGCCTGCCCGCGGCTCTCCAGGCTGTGGGCTGCGGGAGGGGGCGCCCCCTCAGCCGTGCCTGACCTATCCCTGTGCCCCCAGCCTCCTGCCGCGGCTGCGACATCTCCCCAGCGTTGTTCGAGGCCCCGCGTGGCTATAGCGTGATGGGCGGCCAGCGGGAGGCGGCAACCCGCGACGATGACGACGACCTGCTGCAGTTTGCCATCCAGCAGAGCCTGCTTGAGGCGGGCAGTGAGTATGACCAGGTGCGTCTCCGCGGGTGCGCGGGGCCACGGGACTGCGGCGCCGCCCCGGCTAACGCCCACACCTCCCCTCAGGTCACCATCTGGGAGGCGCTAACCAACAGCAAGCCAGGCACCCACCCCATGTCCTACGAGAGTCGCCGACAGGACAGGTCAGTGCCCGCTGGGCTGGAGAGAATCCTCCGGAGAGGATCTTGTCTCCCCTAACCCAGGACACAGCCTGGAGAACCCGCGAGGCCCTTGGGAGGGACCTTCCTGGTATCAGGATAGTTTCCGCCACCACCCTTTCCTGGCTCCGAGGCGGCAAGCAGGGGGTAGGGATCGAGGTCTCACCGCGGCATTCAGACTCTTTCCCCAGTCACTGACGGAGAGAGCTTGGTAGGGGCTGGGCTCTGCTACGACCAGGTGGGGGCCAGAGCGACGCGGGACTGACCGCCTCCACTAGAGGGTGCTGGCCTTGCGCTGCCCTGGAGCCTCCACGCCATGTCCCGGCTCCGGCCGGTGGGTGGGTGCGTCCGGGAGCCCGCGACATTCCTTCCCCGCCCCCAGGAGCGCCCCGCCCACGCCACAGCGCCAGCCTGTTCCCCCGGCGTCAGTGCCCAGCCCTCGGCCCAGCCCGGGACCGGGTTCCGGCCGCCACGTGTTCCGGAGCTACGACGAGCAGCTGCGGCTGGCTATGGAACTGTCGGCGCAGGAGCAGGAGGAGCGGCGGCGGCGCGCACGCCAGGAGGAGGAGGAGCTGGAGCGCATCCTGAGACTCTCACTGACCGAGCAGTAGCGCCCCCTGCTGGGCCCCTCGCCTGTGCCACGCCCAGAGACTAGAGCCTGCGCGCCTGCCGAGCAGCGGCTGGAGACTGGAGCCACCACCTTGGGGGTGCAGCAGCGCACCAGGCACGGTTCGGAGAGGGATTCGGCATGGGAGCGGAGTACCTTTCCAGCCAGGGCCCTGGAGGCAGCTGGCACGGTCTGGTCCCCTGCTTTGCTGTATCCTGATCCCCAGCCCGGTCCCCTAGGCTCAGATCTGTACAAGGGCGGAGCCAGGCGGTCCTGAGGGGGAGATTAATCCTTAGAGGAGCGCTGTCCCCATCCCTTGCTCCTTCTGGCTGGCCCGCATTTCTGTTCACTAACCCCACTCCAGGACACTGCCCCTGAAGCCTTTGCATCTCTGCTCTTCACCCCTGGGGGGCAGCTGAGCTCCCCGCGTGCTGTGTCGCTGCTTTGTCCCAGACACAAACCAGCACGTCAAGGGCCCAGCCCCTCCCCCACCCCGGCATTTCAGCGTCAAGTGCACTTAGCGGGGTGCCCGGCTCCCCCAGCCCCCACACCTGTCCTGGGTCTCAGGGTGGTCCCAACTTCTTCTTGGGCAGCCAGAAGTTGGAGTCCCATCCCCCCAAGGCACATTTTTTTTTCTTTTTTGTGATCAGGGAGTGTGTGCAACGTAGCCCCCTGGCCTGGGCAAGCCCTGACTCCCTCATGGTGCCTCGGAGAGTGGGGAGCATATTGGGCTGGGGTAAGCACTAGACCGACTAGACTGGATACAAAGGGCTCGCCCAGGGCCCTGGCGCCACCCCACCCCTTCCCACCAGCTGCTGCTAGCCTCTGTGGTTGTACATCCCACTTGCCCCCACACGGGGAATGACTCTAAAACCTTTCATCCAATGGTGCTAACCCCCGGCTCTCCCCTGCCCCACCTCACCTACCCAGAGAAGCACAGACCCCGCCAGGGGCAGGGGCCCACCGCACACCCTTGTCCCGGGCCTGTCTGGGACTGGCCTTCCCGGCTCAGCCAGTGAGGCTCAGAAGGGACATAAAAAGGGATGGAAGAAAAGAACAAAGAGAAACTGTTCCTCCCACACTCCCTTCCCTGATGCCAGGGGCACCAGACTGATTCTGAGGCACAATAAAAGAGGCTTCAAACTGGAGGCTTTTCCTACCTGACTTTACTGGGGGACCACCTATGGTGCAGGTTGGGGTCCTTCTGAACCTCAGAGTGGGGAGAGCTCTAGGGTAAGAGGCTGCCTGGTGGCTCCTGAGCCCAGGAGCCTGGGGGTGGCATTTGTAGAGGCTGGGGGGGTCCTCATTCCCCTCACCCCCACTCATGCAGGAGGCAGAGACCGAAGCTTGGTAAAGTGTTTCATTCAGTACGTCTTGTTTTTCTGAGAGTCAAGGCAACGGCAGAGGGGTGGGGGCAGTGTGTGTGTGTGAGATGAACCTAGTTCATCATGCCAGTTCTCTCGAGATTTCTCCGCGGGGGCTGCCTAGAGGAAGCCGCCCTCGCCCCTTGTCGGTGGAAAGGAGAGAGCTCTCTACCATAGACCTCTGTGGGTGTAGCCACTGGGTCCGGCTCTGCAGCAAAGGGGTTGTGTATGTGTCTGCAGAACTGGGGTGACGCCCATCTGGTTTACCGCTCAGGGTGATGGAATTCAGTGAGCTGATTAGGAGACGCGCTGTCATTTTCCCCAGCCTGGGGGACCCAATGAATCGCCACCCATTGAGGTCAAGCTCAGGTTCCCCAATATCCCCAAGCATCACCCTAATACTAAGCACTGTCCCTTCCCTGGGCGGAGAACAAAGGGGGTGGCACCACCTCGTCGTGCAGCACCATTGCTGAGCAACCCCCGGTGACCCCAGGCCTCCCTAGGCCAGCTCCAGCCGAGTCCCAGACGAGGTGGGTCTCCCCTACGCTCCCAGAGTCCCGTGAGGGGCGGAGTTTCCTTCCCAGTCACGCCCCCGGCCCCAGCCCAGAAAGGTGGGGTCGGGAATCCCGGACCACAAGCCGGGGCGGGGCCGAGCTTGTGCGCCCCGCCCTGCCCTGCTCTGCCTGCCTGGCGCGCGCGGAGCTAGTCAGTGCCGTCCACCAGCTCGCACAGCATGTTCTCCAGAGCCGTGATGCGCTGCTCCTGGGCCTGCACTTGCTCGCGGAGGGCCTTGATCTCCTCCAGCAGCGTCTCCAGGGTGTGCTGCTGCTGGGGCGGAGGATAGAGAGGCCGTGTAGGATAGGGGCGGTAGTGGGGAGATGTAAATTGGGCCAGAATGCAGCTGGGCCGATCTTACCGACAAGGGGGCGTCGCTAGCCGACTGGCTGCGGCGGGGGCCGGAGGGCAGGCGCACGTCCAAGATGTTGCGTTTAGTGACCCGGAGCTCGCGATGCTTAGGGGGCACGTAGCCGTCCCTCAGCGAAATGAGCACAGGTTCGGCGTCCTGGCCGGCTAGCCATTCGTCCGCTTCTAGGGCTGGCTCCGGGCCTGGTGTATCCGGGTACAGATCGTCCTGGAACAGGTCTGACTGCAGGGATGGGTTGACAGGCGGACCTGCGTGAAAGAGGTGCGGGGCCTGCTCCGCTCCCTTCCGCCTCGTAGCCCTGCCCAACCCTTCTCTGGCCCCTCACCTTGCGGGGCACAGTCATGATGATAGGCTCACACTTTCTTTCGTGCAGCTTGTAGAACCTATAAGGGAGCAGGGTTCAGCACCCCTGTAGACTTCCACGTCCTTAACTTCTCCTGTCTCAGACCAAGGGGTTTCGAGGCTAACATTTGCAGAGCGCCTACCATGCATATTTCACATTACACACATTATTGGTTCTGCCGTAAAACACCGCTGATGGTGTGTTCACCATCATCTTATGGATGAGAATGTCAGGCGAGTGAGCGGTGGGTCTGGCACTGAAACAGAACTGTCCTATCCCTCTGCCCCCCTTTTCCAAAGCATTGCATTATTGGGGAAGCCCCATGGCTAGGACCCGACATGAGTGGGGGACAGAGGCAGGCAGGTGCTTGGAAGGGGCCAAGGCTGCTGACCGGGCGATCTCACACTTGCTGACATCCAGTCCCCTCTTGGGCATGAAACCCATGCCCCGCTGCGGCTCTTTGCTGCTGAACGTGTTCAGGTAGTGGACAAAAGGCGGCTCTTCGGTAATCTCAAAGTACCGAATGCTGCTGTCGCCCTGCAAAACCAGTCAGTTCAGAGGCGAGCCAGACCAAGCCCTCCACATCTCCATCCAGCCCCGTCCTCCCTGCCCTGCCGTGAGCACCTTGCCACAAAGGTAGACGATGCTGGAGTCAGGATCGTAAAAGGGCAGTAGGACCCCGTTGCTCGTGTCCATCTCCTGCAGTGCCACTGGCTCCTCGAAATTGTTCTGCCCGAGCACAGGAGGCGTGACCAGCCCTGCCCCCCTCTCCCGTGCTACTTCGGGACCCCCAGAAGCTCCTTTATGCTTCCTGCCCAACTCAAATCATATGCCCCAAACCTCTAGCGACCAGAGTTGCAGGCCCCTCCCCTGGGCACATCGCTCCTCCTCCCCTGCGCAATCACTCCTCCTCCCCTGCACATATACCCGCTGCGCGCCGCATGCAGTCACAGCAAACCACCCCCAGGGACTCGGCATCACCAGGTGGGGGCGCCAGCGCAGGATCCTTCACACGACGCAGCAAAACTGGGCAGAGGGGTGGGTGTGAGGATGGCAGGCGCTGCAGAGGTGGCAGCAGCCTTCAGTCCTGTCCAGGTGGGCATGCCCTGCAGGTGGGCGGGGGGGTTCCTGGCCCCTCTCCCGTGATGCCAGTCCCCGGGGCACACACCCCAACCCTCCAGCTGCATTACCGGGTCCCACAGGCCCAGCTCTCGCTGGCTCATGCGGGTGAAGCCCGTGGTGAAGATATGGCCCTGGCGTGTGAAGATGGCCCGCATGGGCCTCATCCCCTCGTGGGCCGCAAACCTCTCCTGGGGGGAGGGGGAGACAGGGAGGGGCATCACCCAGCTGCCTGCCCTGAGGAGCATGGAGGGATGAGCAACCAGCTTGCTGACTTGGGTGTGGGGGGTGGGGGAGCGGAGGCGGGGAAGAGACAAAAGGGGCCTAAGCTCTCAGCTTCCTGCAGGGCCACGGCTGGCCCCTGACCTGGAGGGCATCCGGGCCTGGAGAGAGCAGGAGGCACGCGGCTCTCAGCAGATCCCGAACCCTTAAGCGCGCTCAAAGGCCGATCCCTAGAGCAGGGGATGTCGGAGTCGCAGCGAGGCTTTTCCCGAACGGGAGCTCCCTGCTCCGCTCGTGCCTCTTGGGCGCCAGCCACAGCCCGGGAGGGCGCCTCCCGGCGGACCCAGCGAAGGAGCGAGCGGGCGCGGCCTGGCCTACCGGGTCCCAGAGCGCGAGTTGCCGCTCACTCATCCTGCTGAAGCCAGTGCTGAGCAGCTTCCCGTCTGCGGTGAAGACAGCCCGCAGCGGGCGGGCGCCCTCGTGAGGCCGGGCTCGCTCCTGCTCACGGGGTTAGTGGGTTAGAGCGCTGCACACCTGCCCCGACCGCGCTCGGCGCGCGTGCTCCACGCAGACATGCACGCGCCCCACGCACCCGCACCCCAGATTAGATTGAGGCCGGCGAGGCCAGGGCCGTCGCCCTCCCAGGGCACCCGGCTGGAATAAGCAACGCGCAAGGGTTGCCCCCATCCCCCGCCCAGCGGGTCCACAAGGAGAAGGGGCCAGCCCTAGAGGCAGTGTCAGACCCTAGACCCCGAAAGATGCGTCTGGGTGCTGGCTGACAGGAGAGGGGTCCCGGAGCTCAGGTTTCATGCAGGTTCTGGTGGGAGGATGGAGTTTCCAGCTTCTCCCCTCCTCAATCCCAAAGGGAGGAACCCTTCTCTGAGCTTCTGAGATGCAAGGGAGGGGAGGGAACAGGAGCCGGGCAGAGAATTGCAGGCTGTGGGCTTACTTAGGGCAGAGACCTGTGGTTGCAGAGACGGGGGAAGGGGGCTAGTTTCTGGAGCAGGGATGTGACAGGTGAAAGCTGGGACCAGGGGCTCTGATGATGGTGGGTACAGGGTGCTGACAGCTGGCCACTAGTCAGGGGTGCTGGGGAGTGGCCAGTCCAGGCACTCACCGCCACCACTTGGCCTTTTCGGGGGTCAATGATGCGCAAGGTCTTGTCCTTGCAGGTGGTGGCTAGCAGGCTACCGTTGCTGTTCCAGCACACACTGTGGATGACGTCTGGGTGCATATCATCCAGGCTCAGCAGCACCTCCCCAGTGCCCACATTCCACATGATGATCACATTGTCACCACCTGCCCAGAGTGGCCAGGCATGGTCACCTGGATCTGGCCTTTGCCACCACCCACCCATCTTTGGGGGAACCCTCCCTAGCTCCCAGACCTGCACTGAGCAGGACATTCCTGGCAGTAGGGTGCCAGGAGAGGATGCCCACACGCTTGGAGTGGCCCTCAAGTGTGATGATAGGTTCCGTAATGTTGCGCATGGGGGTATAGTCTGGAATCTGCCACACCTGGGTAGGAAGAAAAGGCATACGGTGGGTGGAATGAGGAGCCAGCCCTTCTCTACCTTCCTTTAATCCTGCTGGCTCTCTTAAGTGGTAAGGGTCAAATACAGGGCAAGATGTGGTGGTGCATGCCTAGGCCAGAAGCAGCTGGGAGCCAGGAGGGGGCGCTGCCAGCTCTCCAGAGACCTCCCATTCACTCCAGCAGGGAGACTTCAGAGCATGGCTCTGCACTCTTCAAGTTGGCCGTGGCTATAATTAGTCCTAAGCAGTGCATCCTGGGAGGGGGTGGGCATATAGCTAAAAATAGTCTGGGAGCTGGGCAGGGCAGGGCCCTGGGATCCAGCACCTCCCTTATTACCATCCTTAGCACCTTCCCCAGCACAGGTGAGGCAGCCTTCCCTGCTCAACTGCCCAGCAGTAGCCACCTGGCTCCTACCATGACGGTGGTGTCATCTGAGGCACTGGCGATGACGTTGTCATTGTGTGGACACCAGTCAATATCCAGCACAGGAGCAGTGTGCCCAGTGACCAGTGGGAAGTTCTTATCCACTCGCCCTGTCTGAGGGGTTGGAGAGGAAGATGTGGGACTACTCTCTTGTGAGCTTTTTTGGGGGTGGGTAGCAGATCTGTTTACATCTGAATTCCCTATTACCTATTTTCTCTTTGCAGACCCCTCTCCACCCTTCTAACCCCATCCAGTCCACTTCCTGCACTTTACTGAAAGCAGACAGAGTTGAAATCATGTAATATTAGGGACTCTGACACAGAGGTAAGATGACTTCACCAGGGACACATAACAAGATACTGGTAGAGCTGAGATTTGAACTTTCCAGCCCAGGGCTCTTCCAAAGACATCTATTGGAGGAGGCTGTTCTTGAGCCTGTTCTCCTATTAAAATGTCTGTGGGAATCTCCTGGTGGAAGAGGTCTAGGTGAGTGTAGTGTAGTGCTGGACAGCCCTTTCCTGGCCTCCCTTGGCAGATCTCTTCCAAGCAGCAAGCAGTCCAGGTGCCTACCATCCCTAAATGGGAGCTGGGGCCCACCTATTTTTCGGTCTTCATAGGCAGCTTGTGGGGGCTCTGAGACCTCTGCAGGGACAGGCACTGGTCCAGACCAGGCAGTGGGGAAAGGGTGGCTGTGTGGCACTGAAAGAGCAGACATATTGGGGGAGGAGGCAGCTCCAGCTGAAATTTGAGCCCTGGGGCCTGTGTCCCTGGATGGTGTCTGCATTGTCTGAGGTGAGTCACTGGCTTTGTCAGGCCTCTTCCTGACCCTGACACCTGTGGAGCCTCCCCTAACAAGGTGTAGGGCCCAGAATCCAGGTCAAGGTCATACCTTGGGGGTGGGAGGATGTGGATGGTCAAGGGGCTTAAGGTTATGAAGCTAACCTGGTAGTCACTGCCTGGTCCCCAACCTGAGGGTAGGGAGGGTCTGGCCTTGTGCATCATTCCTTTCCCTTCCCTTTCTTTTGACTTCACTGCAAGAGTCCTTGGAGGTAACCAGGGACTCTTTGGATAGAGCCTGACCCTGTCCTCAATTTGCTGCTTGGGATGTGACTTAATCAAATGGTCATCCTGGGCTAGGGAGGAGGATCTCCACACCCAAAACATAATGGGATGTGGGATGAGGAGAGGCAGAGATGGAATCTGGCCAGGCTTGGCTGTGCTGTGTCCCAACCATCTCTATCACTCAGCTCCCTTCCTGGTCCCTATTGTGAATGGGATGGTACATGGAGAGGTGGACGGGCTAGGGGGTGGGAGTAGGCCACCATGATGCTAGGGTGGGATGGGGTGGCCTCCCTTCTGGTCCTTGAGGGCTTGAGGAACAGGGAGGAGCCAATCCGCATAGACGCTTCTCCTAACTGTGGAATGGAACTAGGTAAGAACACAGGATGCTTGGAGTCCCCAGGGGCCCCAGCCAGTGTCCTCCCACTTGCTTCCTTTCCCTGGTCCCTCACCTTGGCCAGAGGCAGGACGATGAAGGCACCCCCGCCTCCAGCCTCCACAATAATGGCCAGGAATTTAGGATTGACAGCACAGAAGGAGCTGTCCCATGTGACCTTGGACACACGGATGTCCTCATAGGCCTGGTCGGCCTTTGCTGCCTGCCCAAACACATGGCGGAACTTGCTTTGCCGAACCACACGTCTGCTCATAGCTGCGGGCAGAGGTAGGATCTTAGTGCCCAGAAATGCCTTTGGTCCTTAGTCCTGTGAGCTGTGGGAGGGAGGAGGAGTGGAGAGGTGGCCGGTGAGAAGGGTTATCTGGCCAGGACTCAGTTATAAATCCATATAGAATCTGGTCCTAGAAGCAGGGAGCTTTCTTCAAGGTGGTAAAAGTATGGGAAAGTTAATTTGCTGTATAAAATGCTGTTTAATGTAAGGGGCTAGGATTTGGGGTCAGGCTTCTCCATAGAGACCCAGGCTGAGGAGATTGTGGAGCCTAAGGCACTGATAACTTCCTGGATGCTGGAATGTTTTTGGGAGGAGCCTCAATGCCACACTGCCTTCAAGCACCCCCACTGCCGGCCTTGATGAGCATCTCTTCATAGAAGTAGCTGTAGCTCTCAGAGGCACCTGTCCAGAAGCAGAGGCCTTGACCATTGGATCTTGGCTTAAAGCCAGATATAAGGCGACGGCGGCCACCACAGGATCCCGAACTCGCATCTCTGGCATAGTTCAGGCAGATGGGGTTTTGCCTTTTTCTACAATTTGTCAAGGGGAAAGTTCCTCCTGTCAGCCAACCCGAGTCCTTTCTGCAACTGTTTTCATCAATTTCTTCCCATGCCTTGGGGAGACAGGTGGCAGCACAGAGTGGGGTGGATCTCTCATCTCCCACTCCTCCCTACACAGGCTTCTCTAGGAGGCCTTGATCTTGGTCTTCCGGCTTTTGCCTACCATATGTTTGTCGGGTTTCTCCTCTGGGTCCTCTGCCCTGGCTGGGCCTTCTTACTAGTGAACTCTTCTAGGGGTGGGGTCCTCAACCCCACCCTCCACCCCTGCCCCACCACAGCCAGGCCAGATTTGCAGGGGTGGGGAGGGTGAGGTGCCTTTTCTCCAGCTAGGGCCTCCCTAGAGGCCACACTGAGCACTCTCAAAGCCCCAGCCAGTGGCTCCTGCCCCACCCCAGCCCAGCATCCGTTTGCCCTTCAAGGCGGTTCTGCGGCCCCAAGCTTGAGGCCCGGCCTCCCCGCACCCTTCTCCAGCCTCCTGCCCCCGGACTGCGTTCTTTCGAGACGAGGTGTCTGAGCCCTCCGGGCACGCTGGCCGATGTCCGGCCAAATATAGACACCAAGTCCTTCCTGCCCGAAACCGAATTTGGCGGCGCAGACCTCTGCCCCTAAGGGACCCCGTCCGCTCCGCCAGCTGTGGTGGCGGCCGAGTGTGGGGGGCTGGGTACCTGGTCCTGAGCGGGCTGCGGGGTGCTCACGCTGCGACTCCTCTGTGAAGGGGACCCGAGTGCGCTGGGGGCCGAGGAAGGCGTCAGAACGAAGGAGCCGCCTCTCTGGGTGTCCGCAGCGTCTGAGACCCGGGCGTCCGGTTCCGCGCTCCGGCCACTGCCTGCGGCTTTCCAGGGCCCGGCGCTGCCGCAGCCCCAGCTGCCGCTGCCATCAACCTGAGGGGGCGGGGCCTAGCGTAGGGGCGGGGCCAGGGCCAAAGCTGCCCCGTCCCCTCCAGAGGCGGGAAAGTCGAGCGCTCCCGATCCCCTCTGAGCTTCCGTAGGCCTCGGAAAAGCCTCAAAAGTAAGTGTGCTGCTGTGTGCGGGGTGCGCACGCTCCTTCCCTCCCTCCGTGACTCTAGTAGGCTGGGGAGGCTTGGGTTCGCAGACACGGAGCAGGACGCTCGGCCCGGGAGCCGGTGAGGGGGCGCACGCCCCTAGAGCGGGCAGCCGTGCGAGATCAGGTGCCTCCGCCCGCATTCCAGCAGCAATCGCGCTCCCAATTTAGCTGTCCTGACCGGCCCGGGCTGCGAGACTGCACGTTCAGGCCCTAGAATATGAGGACCCAGGCTGATACTGATCCAGGGCACGTGCGAGGGCACCCGACACAGGGCTGTGAATGTTAGTTATTGTTATGAATGGGAAAAGCGGTCATTTGAGAAACCTAAAATGCTGGCTCTGTGCTAGACATTTCCCCCCATTAGAGAGGATTCCATGGAGCAGGGCAGGAAACAGCTGAAAGACCAAGGAGGGGACCAAGTGTAAAGTGAATCCACCTGACACTCCCTCCCCTCCCAGATGCAGGGGAAAGAGGCTGGCACAGATCTCTAGTCACATTTTAGGGGTCAGAGCAGCCAGCGCAGAGGTCAGACTCCTAATGTCTTCTGTGCCTTGTTTGAATTGGTGCCCGACTGTGTTCCAGGTAAGCTTCCCCATATCCCCCAATACCCACAGAACTGAATGTTGACTGAGGTCAAGGAGATTAAAGGGAATCTGATCAAAATACAGCCAGTGAAGACCATTAGTCCTGTGGCTCCATTTTACCCAGTGTCTGCACGTTGCCAGGATTTCTTCCCTTGGATCATAAGGGCATCATGGGGCCAGTTCTTACTTCCCACTCTCCAGGACATACCTGGGAGTGAATGGAACACAGCTTTCCGGAGGGCAGAGACCAGCACTGGGGAGAAAGGGGAGTGAAGGTGGTGAAACCATGAGGGGCCCCACAAGGCTCCTTTGTTTCTTTTGTGGACGAGTCAGTGGCTTGTGGGGAACAAAATCAAAAACTGTTACGAGTGCTCCAGAAATAACTCCTGGCATAGGGGTGCAGGGGCAGGGTATGAGGGTACATGAGTCACCTCTCTTTTACCTAAAGATTCCAGGCACATTATTAGGAGGAAAATACCTGAGTTACTCAGTTGCTCCTTTATAACAATAACCCATGCTTATGTGCTAGGCACTGGCACTGTTCTAAGGGCTTTATACATATCAATTTCATACTCCTCTAGGCCAGACCTGTTGGCTGCCGACTGTAATCCCAGCACTTTGGGAGGCTGAGGTGGGTGGATCACCTGAGGTCAGGAATTCAAGACCAGCCTGGCCAACATGGTGAAACCCCATCTCTACTAAAAATACAAGAATTAGCCAGGTGTGGTAGTGCACACCTGTAATCCCAGCTACTCAGGAGGCTGAGACACAAGAATCACTTGAACCTGGGAGGCGAAAGTTGCAGTGAGCTGAGATGGTGTCACCACACTTTAGCCTGGGTGACAGAGTGAGATTCTGTCTAAAAAAAACAAAAACAAACAAACAAACAAACAAAATCAGCCAAAAAGAAAACACCACAAAACAAAAACAAAAAACAATCCTCTAAGGTGGGCCCTGTTATTATCCCTATTTAACAGTTGAGGAAATGAAGCCACAGATGTTAGCTGACTTACCCATCACAACCTCAACTAGTAGTTGATGTAGCTACCATTCTTACCCAAGTGGTCTGGTATCTGGTCCATGCTTCTCAGCACCATTCATTTCTGCCTCTCCCTGAAGGACAGTGCCACTTTATCTCACATGTGCTAAGCTAAAGCATTACTGAGAGTTTATGCTGTGTGGCACAGAGGAAAGGATGCCTGGCATGAATTAAAAACCTGGTTCCAGTCCTGGCTCAATTGTCATATTTTTACAGCTCTCTGGGCTGTAAAATGAACAGGATTGGGTCAGATTCTTTCCAACTCTGCACCACTCATTAGCAGAGTAGGGATTTGATGTGGTGCCACCTCGGAAATAACCCCTTCCCTACTACCCCCACACTCCTCTTTAAAGAGAACAGGAGACTCCCTTCTAGAGGGAAGGGCTTGGGACTAGGAAGCAAGAATCCATCAGTGCATCCTCCCTTCAGTTCCATCATCTAGGAAGGGCAGTGCTTTCTGTGTACAGGGATTCAGATATTTGCTTGGGCCTGGTGTAGTTCAGCTCTGCCCTCTAGCCTTCTTCCAGCTGCCAAGGCCTGGCAGAGCTGTGAGTGGGCAGAGTTAAGGCAGGAAGAACCAACCAGGGGAAGAAGCTACTTGGGCTTGGTGCCTCCCTTTCGAACTGTTAGCTCTGGACTGCAATCCATAGAAGACAGCCATGGATTTCATCTTTTAGGAAGCCATTTTCTGGATGAGGTAGTCTGGTAACTTAACCATGATTTGGTCCATCTGCTTTGGCTAGAAAGCCAAGACTGAGGTTATCTAGATTGGTCAGGGATCCGAGGCACTCTTAGAATAATTTTGTGAAAGGCCTTACCTTCAACATCATGCACTCCAGCTAAAGACCAGCACTGTGGCCCTCCCACTTGATATGGATGATTCAGAATGAAGCAAGCTGACTTTAGTTCAAGGCAGTGTGTTTTTTTTTTTTTTGGTTGGGGGGAACTTCACTAAATTTTGTTAGCAATTGGAACTGGAAACTGAGCTCTCCCTAGATGGTAGCACTCCCTTGTATGTGATGAATGGCACCACTAAACATCTCACGATGAATCTGTGTGGAAAGGTGGGAGAAGTGGGGATACCCCCTAGGCCATTTTACAGAACTGCCTTTTGTCCCCTTCTCCTATGTCAGTGACACCAATGTTTCTCTTCTAATGGTGGGAATAATGAGCTTTATTTATTTATTTAAAGAGACAGGATCTTGATATGTTGCCCAGGCTGGAGTGCAGTGGCCCTTCACAGGCACGATCCCACTACTGATCAGCATGGGAGTTTTGACCTGCTCTGTTTCCGACCTGGGCCAGTTCACCCCTCCTTTGGCAACCTGGTGGTCCCCCACTCCCAGGAGGTCATCATATTGATGCTGAACTTAGTGTGGATACCCGATCAGCATAGTGCACTACAGCCCAGAACTCCTGGGCTCAAGAGATCCTCCAGCCTCAGCCTCCCAAATAGCTGGGACTACAGATACGTGCCACCACACCTGGCAATAAGATTTTATTTCTTTGGAAATTCATGTCCCATTTCTAGAAATTTTTCAGTGGGCTGAGATGCCTTGAGCTGAAAGCTTGTTAGCTCTTGCCCACTATGTCCAGAGAGGTCACCCACCAAACAAATCCAGTCTGTTGGGGCAGGTGACCACAGCTGTCCCAGATCAGTCACTCTGCAGCACATATGGAGGAGGAATTTTGGTCCCTTTGCTTTTTCATTCTTCTAACATTCAGGTGGTAGCATTGGCAAGTGCCTCCTTAACCTGGCACATTCCCAGCTTGGTCACTTGATTGGAGCCACACTGCCTGAAATAATCTTTAGTGATCCTATCTCCTGTCTAGTCTTTTACTTTGTGGACAGGTAGCAAGTTTCATTTATTTTTGAGGTACCTCAGCTCTCTCTTCAGGGTGACATGACTGGGATGAATCATTGAGAACTACTGCTTGTTCACTGTGTTCCCTCTTCTAACCCTTACACTTCTCCAGCACCTCCCTCCTTTGTTGCATCTGATGACGTACACGTTTCATCTTCAAAATAAAAATTTATTCAATCTGTAACAAGAACATTTAATCTGCACATTTGCACACAAGTTCACATTTAAAAACAGCGGAGCACATCAGTAATAAAAAAATCTATGGTACAAGTGGAACATCTCAACCACCAGGAAGATTAAGGAAGGAGATGAGACCACTCTATTTTCTGCTTCAAATGCCTCAAAAAGGTCCCAGAGATTCCAGGGAGCACCTGCTTTAATAAAATGCGAGCATAAAAGTTTGGGGTGGTTTGGGGCAAAGGTAACAGTCAGAGGGAGAGTCTTCTGGACTTGTTTTCCATGTTTAGAACAAGTCCTACAAAACAAAGCAGGAAAAAAGAAGAAGAAAAGGCACCTTTAGATATGCCAAGCAAACCAAAATCCACAAAACATAAAAATGAAACATTTCCCTGTGGGCTTACTGATTGGGAAGCACTTCAGGGCCAGTTACCCAGTTTTTAGTTTGGGTATCAGCTCTGCATGTGTACACAGGACACTGCCACCAGTATTGCTTTGAGGACACAGATGGCAGTACCCGTCAAATGCCTCTTGGGGGATTCTTCAAGCTGATTAAGGATGATTCCAGTTTAGAAATCCTGTCCTAGATCTCTGGGGCACTGAGAAAATGAGGCTGGTTCTCTTCTCATAGCAGGAGCCAGGGCTAGTCACCCTCCATTTCCAGGCTGGAAAAGTACAGAAGTAGCCTGCAATAGCTCTTCATGGCATCAAGGGACTCCACACCCTGGGAGAAGGGTTAGGAATGTGCAGCTTCCTGCTTTGGTGGCAGGCCTTTTCCTAATATGCATGTCAGAGGAGTGGAGGCAGCAAATACGCTTGTGTCTAATACATGCCTTGATCTTTTAGGTTGGAAGGGAAAACAAAGTCCAAGATGCTTTTAAGTTGGATTGGTACTGAAACAGCTAAAATTTCATCTTATCCACCATCAAAAAGCAAAACAAAATTAAACAAAATGACACTAGCCATTCACCATTACAACCATCACTATAAGACATATCATCACTGAGGAAATGACAACTATTTCCATAGGGAGTGCTGGCTGGGAATGCAGGACACAGATGGAAGTCAGCTTCAGGGTATGCCCACCTATTCACAAGGGCTGACCATTATGGCACTGCTCTGCAAGAGGATACAGGACAGCCAGGGCACAGATGCCTGCAGGACTGAGTGGCCAACAAGATGATGAACATTTTAATATTCAAAGTGTAAACAAGGTATCCACAAATAGTCCAAAAAAGCCAAAGAATGGCTTTATTTAAAAAATTTTAAATGCCCTTAAAAGTGACTTTTTGCATAATGCTTTAAAAAAAAAAACTCTCACAAAAACATTTTTACCAAACATGCCTAGATCAATTCACAACTGAAATCCTCAGATGAAACAGGTGAACACTTCTGTGACCTACTACATCTCAGAAGCTTCTTAGAGGAAGCTTTGGGTTTACCCAATAGCATCTGTCTGGGTCCTGTTGAGCAGGAGACCTCAGAGCCTGGGGCACTGAGATCTTCAGGCTGACCTTGGAGCTCTGGTAGTTTGCAAAATGAGGAGGAGGAATTATCAGTAGGGATTTATTTGACACAGAACCAGAAAAGATCCTGAAGAGACTAAGAAAGGAGGAATGATCCCAAACATTTAGCATCTAAAAGGCAACGGAAATGTGGAGAGGTGAATATTACTGTACTACGCCTCTACTATAGTATCCATTACTTCTAGATGTTTCCAAAAATCAAGAAAGGGTTGGGGTTTCCCTTTCTACTGACCAGGTTCAGCTCAAATTCTGTATACTCCTGGGGCTTTTACCCCATGCACCAAAACATCAGCTCTTTTTATGCATGTACACATATGTGTACACTTGCACACACACTCCTCCAGAATAACTGAGAGTATATGGTGGTTTAAAGAGGGAGAGACAGTAAGAGGGAGAGAAGGAGAGAGAGAGAGAGGGCAAGAGGTCATGGTTTTTCCTGTTCATCTTGGCCAGTCTATCAAATCTGCTGTTTCAGGTCTGGGCTTTCCGTGAACAGAAAAAAAGGGAAACAGACCACTGGAGATTATAAGAGTCTGAAGAGAAGGAAGTCTGGAAAGTCCTTGACAGCTCATTATGCACCTCCCCTGGACATTGCTCAGCTATGTAAATAACTCAGGAACACCCAATTCTGGGAGTCTGAAAGGGCTGGAAAATTTCCTTGGCATGGCTGAATTACAGACACTCCGCAGAAGATGTTTATTTAGGCAGGTAAACACTAAATGATTAAAAAATGTAATTATAAAAAGGTAGAAACACTATTTCCTCTGCTCTTAAAGAAAAGTTGTCCCCCCACCCCAGAGCATTCATGGGTTTTGTCCCATCTTGTTCTTATTTAATGCAGTGAGTGAGCATTAAACACAGTGGTGGGAGAAAAGGGAAAAGTCCAAACTTTGGTCCTGCTTGTACTTCTTAATGCATGGGATGTCATCATCATCAGGGGTTACCAGGAGTGGATGCCACTCTTAACTTCCAGTGCAAATCCTCTCCCCACCCTGCACAATTTCCTGCCCTTCCCCATCATATTGGTAGTGGCACTGCTTCAAGGCAGGGCAGTCTCGATGGAAGAGTCTTGGAAATCCATAACCCTGTCTCAGGCCTCCTCACACTGGTTCATACCACCTAACAAAACACTTTACAACACACAAATATCCAGGAATCACAAAACTGTGTGGATGATATACTTGAACATTCAAGGAAACTACTGAGCAACAGCACAGGGTACACATAATCACTACACCATGAAGACGCTTTTAGCAAGTGGTTTCTGTCCAGCCTGCCTCCTGGCAGTGACGTCAGACCCAACCTTGGCTTCCATACAACTTCACAGCTCCTCTTTATCCTCAGTTTACCTTTTCTGTATCTTTTATGCTGCCCTGCCATCTGCCCCATCAAACTCTGGCCTCTGACATCACGTTGACAGTCTATGCATTTGTATTTTCCTCTCAGTGCTGCAATGAGCCAAAAACCTGTCTCCAGTCTGTACTCAGTCAATCCTCAATAATGTGGACATCAACAAAAGCTAACAGAAAGCAAATCTGCAAGCCTCTTCCGTTTTAATGAGCCACAGAGGTGTTTCATGCCAGGCTAAATCTGTTTTCTGTAAGAAGCTACAAGAGGCTTGTTTATGGCAGGTGCTCCTGCGTTAAGAATCTCCACGACAGTAGCAAAGCGACAGCATCCTAAATGGAGTCGCTGTGGGCACTTGCCCTTGGCTGAGACCGCTCCTGTGGCCTTCAGCCTCCACTAGGAGCTTCCACTCTGGGCAGTTCACATACAATTCCTGGCTGTGGTTGAGATACTGGCAAACACTGTTCTGGGATTTCAGTCTCAAAGAAAAATCAGCTTTCAGTCACACTGTGACCTAATGGGAGCCTTTAGGGGTGTCTCTGAGGAAGAAGTTACTAATACATAATTTGGCAGGAGCTGGTGATTAGAAGTCTCCATTTAAACAACTACAACCACCATCAACATACTGTATAGATTCCTATCAACACCCAACAGTTTTATTTCTGGTGTCTGTGTGTTTTCCAGTTGCAACTCTACTCCTTCTTAAAAAGAATAAATCAAAAAATACCCTACCACATGAACAACAAAACACTGTGACAGCGACAATATTATGTACATAAATACTGTGTATAAACTTTAGAGAAATGACAAACCTTCCAGGAAAAGGAAAAAAAAGTCAAGTGTTAACAGTGATAATACAGAAAAGAAAATGTTGCATTCAATGGTGTTAAACATATGAACAATTCAAATATAATATATGAAATTAAAAAAAAGTAGGCAGCATGGGGGCAACAAGCACTGGGAAGGAAAATAAACTGGAAGAAAATATGGCCATTAAACTCAGAAGGCCCAAAGAATTATTCAAGTAGTGGAAGGGTTAAAACCCTACATGCTTATTCATTTTACAAGAACACACTGACTTTCGATTGCTGCTTTTCAAACATGTCACTATTGTGGTTTTAGTTGGGAGGACACTGCAGAGCTCGTTTTTCTGGCAGGGAGAAACAAGAGGCCCACCTGTGTGGATCCCACTGCCCTAGCAGTTTCTGGGAAGCAGCCTCTCCACCCCCAACTTGATGTCTTCCTCCTCTTATCATGCTTTCCTCTACAGAAGACCACTTGGGTTTCATTTGGAGTCCTCTTTTAATTTCATTTCAAAAATAATTTTCTTGGGGAAAAAACTATAAGATAAATTTGCAGAGCCAGCCATTATCATGCCTTACTGTAATGATACAACTTGAATACCGAAGACAATTTTTTAAAGCAACGTAGAACCTGCCTCCTTCAGTGCCTCAGGTCTGAAAACCAAACCATCATCACAAAGGCGGGGGAACACTTTCAATTCCCAGCTTTATCTCCAGCCTTCTGAATCTGCTTCCTTCCCTCAATCAAGCAACTAGGCCTTTTCTCGCAGGACAAAAGGAGAAACAGGTGGCAGCTGACTGAAAAACAGCAATTTGCCTTTGATAAAGGTGTTCTCTGAAAATGACTTTTTTTTGAGGTTTGATTTTTTTAAAATAAAAAATGATAAATGGTCTTGCCATCCAGATCTATCTCTCTTTCCCCTTACATATACACACACATACACACTGAAAAACCAAACCCTGCATGCGCCAGAAACAGTAAAATGACCAAAATATTATAAAATTAACCAATAAAGTGCATGTTCCTTACATATTACACCTGCCCCTTTTACAAACTTTTCTTCTAGAAAGTCACATGTGTAGGCTCAGAATCACATGGTATTATAGAAGGGGTTGGTTGTCCGTTTTTTGTCATTTGCCTTTTCCAGTCTCCTAAGGGGGTGAGTTCTGCCCTGTTGCTGACGGGGTGCCACGGCTAGCCCGGGGGCTGGGCATGCACACTGTAGTCCCTGGGTCTGTAGCACGGGAAGGCCTCCTTCAGAACTAGTCAATTCAGGTCCTGCCCTGGGGAGCAAACACTGCTGACTGGAACCAAATTCTTTGGCATACTGCACAAGGGGCCTCTCCACTGGCTTGCTCTGCACAACACACTCTGTTGTTGTGAGCTGTTCTACAAGATACTTGGTGGGCTCTGGGTTGTGGGGGGCACCTGGGTTTTCTAGGGACTCTTGGTCCTCCATGGCGTGCATGCCTGAGTCTGTTCTGAGGAAAGGCTGAAGCAGTTTGAGATGAGGGAATTCACAGGAGGCAGGCTTCCTCTCTGGTAAACAGTCTTTACAGAGGTCCAAGTAACCTAATTTGGCGAGAGAAGCTGAGCGCCTCATTTGGGATGGTTTGGTGAGCCCTGTCTGGAAAACTGCTCGAGACTCAATTTCTTTAGCATGCTCCTTCACCACACCAGGGCTGTGGCTGAGACCTTTTATGTTTTCACTACTAGAGCTATGTGGGAGTCGACAGGCTACAGGTAATGGGTCCAGTTTCTCCTGTAACTCCCCACTGTTGTCACCAAGTTTACTTATTAAACTTAGGTCTTCGCTACTTAGCCGGGAGTCCTTATATGGCACCTCATTGCCACTGAAGAGAGGGCTCTCTTGACTTTCTTCCCAGCTAACCTGTTCTGTGGAGGGCTCATCTGTGGTGCTGCTCTGCTTTGTGAAGCCTTCCAGGTGAACCATAGTCTGGGGATGCAGGTAATCCTGAGTGACAGACAGTAACTGGTTTGTGTGACTGACAAAAGGTGCTGCTATCTCCGGGGCTGTCGACAGGCTGTTGCCTCTGTCTTCAGGGCTACTCAGCATGGAGATTGGGTGGTCAGTGGGCCTGCTGTGCTCAGGAGAGGAAGAGTGAGGCAGAGGTAGCACTTGGGGGTGCAGAGAAACCTGATTGGAGTCCAGAGTCCTGTTTAGATTTTCATCCAGTGCGCAGAGCACAGTGACAGATTTTTCCACTTTCACTTTCCTCAGTCCTTGCTCTCGGTTCTTCTCACTAGTGGCTATTTCACTCCCTGGCCCAGTGTGATCAGGTGATGTAACTGTATACTCAATGATTTCTACTCTCTTGGGAAGAGGAAGAAGGACTGCCTGTGTCTCAGACTCCTGGTATGGAATCACAGTCCTTAGATCCTTCAGGACTTCTTCCTGCTGTGTTCCAGTATCTGACCCTGGGCCCTCCTGAGGAACTGGCAAGTGGTCAAACTCTGGCACCTTGGGAGCTGGAACAGTGACATTCTGCTCAGAATGGGACAGTGAACCAGCCTCAGACCCACTGTATTTCCCTTTGCCTTTGCTCATCTCTGGTTCCTTGGGGACAAATGAATGTTCTGGGGTAGCTTCATCACTTTTCCCTTTTGGAGCTAGGTCTGCTACAGAAGAATCATTCTTTGAATTCTTACGAGTGGACAATGAGGTACATGTCGGGGCAGCACCGTGATGCTCTTGCTCCTGCCGTAAGCGCTCTTCGAACTCCAAGGTGGCTCGCCTCACAGACCCAGGGTACCACTTGGCACCTGGGTGCATCCCTAAGGCCTGGAGCTCTTGTTCTCCCTCAGCAGGTTCCTCTTCTTCCATGTCTGCTATAGATGAGTGTGTGGTTAGGCAGCCTTCTTGGTTGTATATCCCTGAGTCTTTGGCTGCTTCAGGCTGGGCTGTGCAGGAGCCCTCATCTTGCTCCACATGTCCAGGTTTGTTCTCTGGGGTCTGGGCCCTCTCAAGGGGCAGCTCATGGATGCTGTTCTTCTTTGGTGTATGGCATGGGTTGGATAAGATGTCTCCTTTCAGTTGAACCTGTCCAACTCCTTGGCTGATGGACTCAATTTCAGTGACAATTTCTTTGACTGAAATTGCATTTTCTAAGTGAGACTGCATGAAGATGTCTGGGCTGACGAGTTCTGAGATTGCCTAAGAAAAGAAAGTAGTGAGATGATTATGGAGAATTATAGTCTAATTGAAAATGCTGGATTTTCTGCTTATTAATCCTCTGATCCAGGACAACCTATCTGGCTATGAGAATACAAATCATGGAGTGCCTGGGACCATACTCTGCCCATCTGTTTTGTCAGACTACAAGAAAAAAACTGAATTCAACAAAATTTGTTATAGGTTGTGATACTGTCTACCAAACTTTCTGTTCTGTCTACTTAAGCAGAATTCCAATCTAATGAATAGCAAATACCTTTGGAGGCGCCTATAATCTATGTCTCCCTAAGACTATGAGCCTCCAGAATTCAGGCCATACTGTGGTAAATGAAACCTTTCCCTTATGGCCTATCAACTTCCAGTTTGATCCTAACCTATCTGAGGGAAAGTGTTCCATTCAAGGGCTAAGTGGCCCACTTAGATATGTCCCAGTGATAGGGCAAGATGGACGAGGCTATCATCTGATGGTTGCTTTGGAGACTCACTGCTCTCTTCGCTCCTTCGTCTTGCTAGCTTTCACCCACATCCTCCCACTGCTTCCCCTGGCAGCAGCATCCCAGTACTTACAAGCAGGGGCATACACTATCTGACTACACAGTCTCTAAGTTTTACATGATTCCTTCTTGGAATGGTTTACTTGGCTTACATAGCTATATTCCTTAACAAACTTAGAAATCATAACTCTCTAATTTTACTATTTTGCCAATTACAAATTCCCAGGTGGATTTAGAACAAGGGCAGAGAATACTGACGAATGCAAAATCAGGTCCTACTGTAAAAAAACAAAACAAAAACTCAAAATCTGGGAATGATCCTTGGATACCTCTTAAAGTAGTTATCATTATGGCTATCAATCTAGTTAACATTTTTTTTTTTTTTGAGACAGAGTTTCGCTCTTTTTACCCAGACTGGAGTGCAATGGCGCAATCTCGGCTCACCGCAACCTCTGCCTCCTGGGTTCAGGCAATTCTCCTGCCTCAGCCTCCTGAGTAGCTGGGATTACAGGCACGCGCCACTATGCCCAGCTAATTTTTTGTATTTTGAGTAGAGACGGGGTTTCACCATGTTGACCAGGATGGTCTCGATCTCTTGACCTCATGATCCACCCGCCTTGGCCTCCCAAAGTGCTGGGATTACAGGCTTGAGCCACCGCGCCCAGCTTAGTTAACATTTTTATAAGCCTTCAAAGTATATTTCCCTGGGAACTGCTCTGGTCTTTCTCTTTCAAAAGAGAGTCAGAGTTAGTACAAACTAACAAGGTCAGTAATGCCTTTGGGGGAAATGTGCCATGACATCAGGCAGAGGCAAACTTGCCAAGACTGGGAGAGAAGCCATAGTGGGCCCAGTATGTGCATGGGCCATGGAGGGAGTGCTCATATGACCAGGGACTTTGCAGAAAGGCTATTTCTGTCAGTGCTGCTACAGTCACTGGCCCAAGGGAAAGCACAAGCATTCTGCCTTCTCCGTAAAAAGGAAACAGAGGCACAGCCTTGGGAGTGGTGGAAAGACAGAAGCAGAGGCAAGAATCACAGTGGGGTAGAGTTAAGGAGAGAGAACAAATCAGTAACGGACAAAGTGGTATACATAAGTAGACGGACATCAGGAGATGAAAAGAATCTACCTAGCTCCACTAAAATCATTAAGTGAAGTTTGGTATGTTAGAGTAAATGTGTCACAGTTTATTCCTCTAACTACTGTGTCGTATTCATTTAAGACACTACTGTTTATAAGATGCATCACAATGCCATAAATGTCAAAATATGAGTAAGCGTGAGTCTTAGAATTGATGCAATATAGTGATTCTTTCCCTGGTTTGAGATGGCTTGTAAGAGCTTCTATGCCACAAAGAAGAATCTTAGAATTCTGTCTGCTTGCAAATTCATTTCCCCTTGATTCTTAAGTACCACAGCATTGGAGATGAAGAAGACAGGCACATTATTAACAGCAGGAACTCAGCACGGGAAGCAGTTGCTACTCTAACAACTGTTCACATACATCTAGTCTTTGACTTTTCTGAGACAATAAGAATTTCCCAAACGAATCTATCTTCTCAGAAACACAGCTCTCACTCATGCAGTATCTGAGTCCCTGGCATTTTTTTGGTAAGATCTGATATTACCTGCTTTGGACTTCTCATCATTCAGTCACGACAATTGTTTGGCTAACCCCTTCCTCTGTCATCCCCTCTTAGAAGTGCTTCCAATGACATCAGAAAGATGAAATTCCCAAAAGGAAGATTATTTAAAAAATATTTAAACCTTAAGTTTTCAAAGAAAATCTTAGCCAGACACTCCATCAAAAATAAACGTAACAGAATCCAAAATGCTTTGCCTTTGAAGAGAACTTCATTAGGTGGAAAACTATACAGATAGTTTTTACCTTTGACTGTTCCTCATCCATTGAAGATTCTTCTAATGCATGGGGAGTATTACTCAAAGAGCTGCTTCTCTGGTCATCAGCTGTCACTTTGGAAGGGGCTACTTCTATCACTGAAGGCCGACAGCTCTCACTCCTTCCTCCTCCCAGTTCCTCCATCCTTGAATGGGAAAAAGATCGTGACCGGGTTTCTTGGGAGAGCTCCACAAACTTCTCTAGGGCACTAAAAAAGTCAATGCGATCTGTACTGAAATCTGAGATTTCAGTTTGGCAACTGGGCTGGGGGCTTGGTGACTCAGGATCAGGGGACATAGGGAGGTCTTTCAGTCGAGATGTCAATTCTTCCATAGGCAGTAGGTGGACATTCATGTCTGCTTTCAGTGCATCTGTCTCCAAATCTTCCACTGTTAAGTCTGGAAACTTGTCGGCCATTTCTGGGACATGTCCAGGCTGAATTAAGGCTTTGGATGCATGGCAGTTGTCAAGAGGAAATTTTGATTCATTCAGACAACACCCTGATGAGCATCCATTGATGTCATTTAAGTTTAATTCATCTTCAATCTGTCCGGCATGAAATTCCCTAGAAGTAAACTCCAAGCAGATCATTCTTTCTTTGGTACACAGGTCTTTCTGATTTGTATCTTGTGGGATTACATGTTCCACAAAGACAGGAGGTATGGATGGGTGACTGTCCATGGTTTTTACCTCAGCAATCTGGTCTGCTGAGGTGGTGATCTCCTTCTTGTTGAGTTCTAGCCCAGGTTTGCAGATGGGTTCGTGGTGGTCTGAGAGGTCACTATCTGAATGAGATCTCCACAGTTTGTTATGCCGCTGTTTGCTGTGGAGGACATACACAGGAAATAATCTAGTTTGTAAAGATAATCAACACCCTCCCAGGAAAAACACTCTCAGATAAATCTTAACTTGCAATGCTTTGTTATTGCTCAATGGAACTACACAATAAATGTTTGAAAAGACACTCAGTAGCAAAAAAAAACAAAGCAAAACAACAACAAATGAATGTGAGATCTGATTTTTTTACCTAATCAGACCGACAGGAATTAAAATGGTTGGTAACAGCAAGTGTTGATGATGGTATGGCCAAACAAGCTCTCTCATACACTGTTGGCAGGAGGAGTGTGAATTGCAGAATATTTTGTTTTTTTCTGACAGTCTTGCTTTGTCGCCCAGGCTGCAGTGCAGTGGCATAATCTCAGCTCACTACAACCTACGCTTCCCAGATTCAAGCAATTCTCCCACCTCAGCCTCCAGAGTAGCTGGGATTACAGGAGCATGCCACCACACCTGGCTAATTTTTGTCTTTTTAGTGCACACGATGTTTTGCCATGTTGGCCAGACCTCAACTGATCTGCCCACCTCGGCCCCCCATCACACCTGGTTGAATTGTAGAATTTTTTTTTTTTGAGACAGAATTTCGCTCTTTTTATCCAGGCTGGAGTGCAATGGCGCAATCTTGGCTCACTGCAACCTCCACCTCCTGGGTTTAGGCAATTCTCCTGCCTCAGCCACCTGAGTAGCTGGGATTATAGGCACGCGCCACCGTGCCCAGCTAATTTTTTGTATTTTTAGTAGAGACGGGGCTTCACCATATTGACCAGGATGGTCTTGATCTCTTGACCTTGTGATCCACCCGCCTTGGCCTCCCAAAGTGCTGGGATTAGAGGCTTGAGCCACCGCATCCGACCCTGAATTGTAGAATTTTAAAGACTGAAATCTGGCAATAGCTCTTTAAATTTAACCCTTTAACCAAAAATTCTTAATATATTTTTCTTGGAGAAATACTACTACAAGTGCACACAGATATCTATATGGCTGGGCGTGGTGTCTCACACCTGAAATCCCAGCACTTTTTGGGAGGCCAAGGCAGGCAGATTGCTTGAGCCCAGGAATTTGAGACCAGCCTGGGCAACATGATAAAACCCCATCTCTATAAAAAATTAAAAAATTATTCAAGTGTAGTGGCATATGCCTGTAGTTTAACTACTTAGGGGGCTGAAGTGGGAGGATCACTTGAGCCCATGATGATGAGGCTGCAGTGAGCTGAGATTGCACCACTGCAACCAGCCTGGGTGACTAAGACCATGTCTCAAAAAAATAAGAAAATAGAAAAGATATATAAAGATATTTACCAGCCAGGTGTGGTGGCTCACGCCTGTAATCCCAGCACTTTGGGAGGCCGAGGCAGGTGGATCACTTGAGGTCAGGAGTTCAAGACCAGCCCGACCAACATGGTGAAACCCGTCTCTACTAAAAATACAAACATTAGCTGGATTTGGTGGCAGCTATCTGTAATCCCAGCTACTCAGGAAGCTGAGACAGGAGAATTGCTTGAACCTGGGAGGCAGGGGTTGAAGTGAGCTGAGATCGCACCACTGCACTCCAGTCTGGGTGACAGAGTTAAGACTCTGTCTCAAACAAAGATATTTACTATGATACTATTTGTGATACTAAAAGATGAGACATCAAACAAAAAACGATTATTTACATTATAATCCACACAACTATATGCTATGAAGCTGTTAAAAACTGTCAGGTCTACGTAAGTCTCCTGTGATAAGAAAAATTAAAACAAAAAGGAAAAAAAAACTTGTCCAGTATTTTAGTAGAATGATATACGAGGTATATTATTAAGTAAGAAAGAACCTCAAACACATTTGAAATTAGTGTCCATGTTAGAATAATATAGGAAAAAATCTGGAGGAACATCACCAAACTGATAGTGATTCTTTCAAGAAAGGTAGAAATACTTCTGGGGAAGACTTTTACTTTCTACATTTTACACACAGGTACACACACATGCACACAGGGTCTCACTCTGCCACCACCCAGGCTGGAGTGCAGTGACAATATCACAGCTCATTGCAACCTCAACCTCCTGGGCTGAGGTGATTCTCCTGCCTCAGCCTCCCTAGTAGTAGCTTTTTTTTTTTTTTTTTTTTGTGGAGATGGGGGTCTCATTATGTTGCCCAGGCTCGTCTCAAACTCCTGGGTTCAAGTGATCCTCCTGCTTTGGCCTCCCAAAGTGCTGGGATTATTGGCGTGAGCCACCAAGCCTGGCCTTTATATTTTTATAATTTTGAATTAAAAAAACAGGCATGTTTAACAAATATAATCAGAAAAACCCCACTAAAATCAAAGCATACAAGTAACACAAAGGGAATACTCTGTTGGAACCTATTACCAAGAACTCATAAGTGGGATGAAGAGCTGATGTAGCTTAATGACTGACGTAGGGTGTGAAGAGCATGGTAAGCATTCTGGAATCAGAAAGCAAAGGAGGGGCTAGTAAATCTGGAGAGAAAACTTAGTAACAGAATGAAGGGAAGAGCATAACGGATAGGCTCTTTCAGAAGAATCTCTGGATAAAAATATTAAGCTAAGGAGACACATGGAAAAGCAGGTGGGCCAAAGGAAGGCCCCTCTCTACCACCCTGCATCCTTTGCTTTATTTTATGAAAGAGGTTTGAGATAGGGAGATTTCATTTCAAACCACACACTCTTAAACAGTTCCCCAAATCCCAGCCAAAAAGAGAAAGATGGCCCTGTGGTTGGTCAGGTTCATCTGCCCAGGAAACAGGTCACTAAGTGTGGTGCTTGGGGGTGTGGTCTCCATGGTTTACAAGCTGATGAGGAGTTACCAAACCGCAGGGTGGAATGGGAAACTCAGCCCAAACAACTTGCCCCGGGCTCCAGGCCACGCCTGGGCTCTGCCGAGTCATGCTCAGGCGCCTGCACTAATGTGACCCGCTGTTTGTTCTCAACTCTGCACCTGCTCTCAGCTCCTCCTGCCTGTCTGCTGCTTGGGTGGGGCTCTCTCTGACTCATGCTTGGAGAGCAGAGGGGTGCTTTCCTGGTAAGGAGCAGGTCAGTCTTTTTATGAAGACAAGCTGTAATCAATCAGCTGGGTGTAAGATGGGGTTTTCACCCTTTCCAAGCTGCATGAACTCCAGCCACCCCTAGGAGGAGACAACATATCGCACATCTTAACAAGTGAGTGACTGTGGGGAGGGGCAAGCTGACTGGATAGGTGGGTCCTAAGTTGTACATTATGACCAACTGAGGCCAGTGGTTTCCTTTTAAAGTGTCTTCTCTTATATGCAAACATCCTTGTTTCTTGAAATAAACATGACCTATCATGAGGATCTTCAAACATGCACCAGCTTCTTTCACCCACCATAGTAGGACAATGCCTGGGATGCAAATGACTGGGAAGACCTCTCAGGGGGTAGCTATTCTTACTCCTGTAATAATAGAACAGGCAAATGAGAAGTTTCATGATCCCAAGAATCCTCCAAAGTATGTTTTTTTAAACTGCCTGGAATTCACTAATCAGTCAGGAGAGAATAAGAGACTGAAGTTATGCTAATAGGCACAAACAGTTACATGCTTCAGAGGAAATCTAACATCACAGTTGTACAGTCAGCAGGGATTTCCTTCTCTTCCTTAGGGAGACAGTAATCAGAAAATACTGGGTCGGGGCTCTGGAATTAAGCTGACACTTGTAAAAGAGAGAGAGAAAAAAACAATCTAAAGATAGGTCTGATGCTGCTGCCTTTTTTTCATTTTTGCAATAGGACCTGCAGGGAGAATAGCAAGCAGCTGATTCATCTCCAACACTGCTACTCCACATGTCCCTTCTCGCTCAGGGGTCCCCTCCCGACTCCTCCCCACTCAAGGGGTAACCTCCACTCTGAATTTTATGCTTATCATTCCCTTATTTTTCTTTATAGTGTCAACATGTTTTGTTCTTAATCAAATACTGCTTTGTTTTGCATGTCTTGAATTTTATATAAATGGTGTCACACTATATGTATTCTTCCTCAATGGATTTTTTTTAAAAAAAGATTCATCACTGTGTATAAAAATGTAACCCACCAGAGTGTAATGAGTATGACACAATTTATTTCCCTTTTGTTGGTTCAAGTGATTCTCCTGTCTCAGCCTCCTGAGTAGTTGGGATTATAGGTATGCACCACCATGCCTGGCTAATTTTTATATTTTTAGAAGAGACGGGGATCACCATGTTGGACAAGGCTGGTCTCAAACTCCTGACCTCAAGCAATCTGCTCGCTTCAGCCTCCCAAAGTGTTGACATTACAGGCATGAGCCCCATGCCTGGCCTCATCATCAGTTTTAGTCCATTACACTAAACTGTTTTCCAATGAAGCTTTGTCCTGAGCCAGTTTATTCTAACACTTCATCACTGGTAGGAATAGATGTAAGACATTAGATCATATCTATTCTTTTAAACTGTTAAATTTTAAATGCAGCTGACTCCCCACCTCCCACCCTCTTCCAGGCAGGCAGCAAATAAACAGCTTGCCAGAAAAGGAACTTCAGAGTTGCTCTATATCCTGGATGATGTAACCAAGTCTCAGATCCTTTTCCCCCTTGAGTGGCCTCTGACCTGAATTTGGATTCGTATAAAAACACAGACATACATAAGGTGATTAGGTCATTCTGGGAAAGAATTGCTCTTTTACCTAATGAATGAACAGGGAAGAAATTCTGTTTTTATTTTTAAATATTTTTAAATTGTCAACCTTGCGCAGGGGCCATGCTAATCTTCTCTGTATAGTTCCAATTTTAGTATATGTGCTGCCCAGGTGAGCACAAGAAGAAGGAAATTTAAATGACGATGTATAAGGTGTTCCATTATCTAGCCTCCACTTTCATATTGTTACATGTTTGGTGAAACATCAACTCTGAGAAAGTTATATAAAGGAAACGGCTGCTAAAAATGGAGTACTTGCATCTGTAATCTAGCTACTCAGGAGGCTACAGCATGATGATCACTTGAGCCTAGGAGTTGAGTGAGACTAGCCTGGGCAATATAGACATTGTCTCTTTGGAAAAAAAAAAATGGTGGGAGCAGGAGTTACAGTAAAATCATGCTGTCTATAGTTACTTTTTTTTTTTTTTTAAGACGGAGTTTTGCTCTGTCACCAGGCTGGAGTGCAGTAGTGTGATCCCAGCTCACTGCAACCTCTGCCTCCTGGGTTCAAGCAATTCTCCTGCCGCAGACTCCCGAGTAGCTGGGACTACAGCCCCGTGCCACCACGCCCAGCCAGTTTTTGTATTTTTATTAGAGACAGGGTTTCACCATGTTGGCCAGGATGGTCTCCATCTCTTGACCTCGTGATTTGCCTGCCTCAGCCTCCCAAAGTGCTGGATTACAGGCATGAGCCACCACACCCGGCTGTCTATAGTTACTTTTTAGGGTATTAGGCAGCCTTTATAAATAAAGGAAAAGAAAAAGCATTATCTGAGTATTTTTTGTGTGCTGTGCATCGTCCAAGATGATTTAAGATTATTTAACTGGAAAGCTAGTAAGAAAATCCTTTTAAATCTCAATTGCAGTTGGCTGTCACCTGACCAGGAGTCCACGTCTTCAATTCTCAGGTTGTATGCTGCCGGCTGACCAATGTGCACCAGCTAACTAGACCTCAATGTCTCCACCAGCAAAGCCAGGGTAAAAGACAACCCTGCCTCCTCTGGCTCTTGTGACAGGAGCATTCAAAGAATCAAAACTGACATTTCTGAGGAAATGTAGCACAAACTCTCCCTGGTCACCACCCAGTTTTTCTTCCTTGCCCCTATATATGGAAACCTAATATCATAGACACACGGTCCAGGTTGCAAATGGTCTGCTTGAAATCTAAACCTGTCTAATGGAACATAAATCTGCCAGATACCTGCATGATCAGAGTACAGAATAACAAACAGGGCTGCTGGCAGTTTGATGGAGTTTCAAAACACAGGCACACACACACAGACACACCCACACCCTCTCTTCTTGTTTTGCTACCATCCCCCATCTATAAAAACAGAAAAAAATAAAATCAGATATCAGTACTAAAAGTAGCTTTATGATACCCTTCTTTTTAGGTCTAAAGGGAAATATTAAACAGCCTTCTTCAGGCCCTTAATGGTATACTAAGAGGTACGAAAAGTACCTTGTATTTCAGAGGGGGTTGCCTCATACCCTCATACTCTGATTAAGACTGTAACCAATTCATAAATCAATACAGGAACCTGGTGTCACTTTGAAAACTCCTCTTCTACTAATGTCAAAGCACTAAGCAAATATCTTCAAACAGAGAGCTGCCACCTCAAATTAAACACCCAGGGCCACCCTAGATAACTATGGAGCTAGAGAATGCTAGGATCAGGGCTCTGCCTCTTTGAGAAAACCACCACATGCCTCTTGGGATAAGATGAAATGCAAGATCCAAACACTTGGACAGGAAATAGAATTTCTCTACAAACAATGAGATTTTTCTAAGGATTTTCCTCTCCTGCTTACCCAAACTGTAAGGCTTGATAGAGCTTCATATAGTCATAGGAGTCTGGGGATTTTTTTCTTTGCTCTTCCAAGCAAGCAGATCCTGGAGCAGCACTTGGGTGCTGGGCCAGTCTGCTGGGCCTATTCACTTTGCAGTTAGCCTACAGGTTCCAAGGTTTCCTAATAACACATCATAGATTGCAGACCCTAACAGCTATATATCTAAGAGCCATTTTTCTTACAGTCAGAAGCCTGATTTGATTTGGGTGTTCACTGTCCCATGGGTTCAGGAAATGTGGCACTTCCCTAGATCCAGAGGATAAATGTGATATATAGATATACATATTTTTGAGACAGAGTTTTGTTCTTTCACCCAGGCTGGAGTGAAGTGGCATGATCTTGGCGCACTGCAACCTTCACCTCCTGGGTTCAAGCAATTCTCCTGCCTCAGCCTCCCAAATAGCTGGGATTATAGGTGCCCACCACCACACCTGGCTAATTTTTGTATTTTTAGTAGAGATGGGGTTTAGCCATGTTGGCCAGGCTGGTCTTGAACTCCTGACCTCAGGTGATCCACCTGCCTTGGCCTCCCGAAGTGCTGGGATTACAGGCATGAGCCACCGTGCCCAGCTGTGAATATGTTTTATCCAGTCCTGGAAATTCTATTTTCTTGGCCATATGACCCAGTCCTGGCCAATGGGTCCCAAGAGGAAGTCTATGGGGAACTTCTGGAGAAGGTCTTCCTATCCAATTTAAATTCCCCTTTTCTTCAGCCAGATGCTGTACATTTACAGATACCTAGCAATGCGGCAGACATCTGGCAATCATCAGACAACGTCAAGGACCAAGCTATTAACTAAGGAAGGTGGAACAGAAAGCTAAAGAACACCAGAGTCTGTGATTACATTACCACTGAGCCATTACAGAGACTACTTCTGTGTTTCTTTTTAAAGGCGATAACTGGTACAACTTTTTAAACTACCTGTAGCTGGGTGTTGGGCCAGATAGCTTTTATTTGCCCCTGCAGGGTCCATTCTTCAGCTTCTCCACCCTGTTTGTTGCTGCAGAGGCTGACCTACAGACCACAACAACAGGCCCCTTAGTTTTCTGACTTCCAGAGGGTTTGGTTAATGGGGAGTTCTGGAAGGAGACTGGAGGAAAGAGAGTGAGGGAAGGTATTTACTCCCCTAGCTCCCTCACCACAGGGTCACCTCGGGCTAGTGTCCCTTTGACAGAAAGTTATTGCTTGTCTCTGAAAGTGCCTTTCTCTAACAAGAGTTTCTTTCCAGGTTTTAGTAACTGCTTCCTCTCTTTTTGGGTCCAGGAGCTATTTCCAAATAGCCCTACTGATATAAGTCCCTTGATTCCACTACAATGCCACACTTGTAAATAGTCCCTTTATAAAACCCTCAACAACGGCTGGGTGTGGTGGCTCACGCGTGGAACCCAGCACTTTGGGAGGCCGAGGTGCGTAAATCACAAGATCAAGAGATTGAGACCATCCTGGCTAACATGGTGAAACCCCCAACTCTACTAAAAATATAAAAAATAGCTGGGCATAGTGGTGCATGCCTGTAGTCTCACCTACTCGGGAGGCTGAGACAGGAGAATCGCTTGAACCCAGGAAACAGAGGTTGCAATGAGCTGAGATCATGCCACCGCACTCCAGCCTGTCAATAAAGATAGACTGTCTCAAAAAATAAAACAGGCTGGGCATGGTGGCTCATGCTTGTAATCTCAGCACTTTGGGAGGTTGAAGCAGGTGGATCACGAGGTTAGGAGTTAGAGACCAGCCTGACTAACATGGTGAAACCTTGTCTCTACTAAAAATACAAAAATTAGCCAGGCATGGCAGTGCGTGACTGTAATCCCAGCTACTCAGGAGTGAGACTCTATCTCAAAAATAAATAAATAAATAAATAATAAAAATAAAAATAAAATAAAAATTAAAAAAACCCTCCTCAAATAATCCTAATCTGAGTCTGCTGTTTCTTGCTGAGATCCTGACTGCTGAGATATTTGATTACTTGCAGCCAAAAGCAGCCTAAGTGATATCCCTAGCACTAGACAGTACTTAAAACCCAGAAAACACCATAATACAGGAAATTTCAGGAACACTTTCCATTCCAATTTTTTTTTTTTTTCTTGAGACGGAGTCTTACTCTGTTGCCCAGGCTGGAGTGCAATGGCGTGATCTTGGCTCACTGCAACCTCCACCTCCTGGGTTCAAGCAATTCTCCTGCCTCAGCCTCCAGAGTAGCTGGGATTACAGGCACGTGCCACCATGCCCAGCTAATTTTGCGTATCTTTAGTAGACATGGGGTTTCACCATGTTGGCCAGGCTGGTCTCAAACTCCTGATCTCGTGATCCACCCGCCTCGGCCTCCCAAAGTGCTGGGATTACAGGCATAAGCCACTGTGCCCGGCCCCATTCCAGTTTTGAATGGAGTATGTCTGTGGGTGGCAGGAGGCAGTAAGTGATGTCATGGAAGAGCAAATAAATGGCACATATACGTGTCTTCTGGGTAGCCTTGGAGGAAGATGAGAATCATATCTCAATAACTCAGTAATACATAAGGAACATTCATATACATTTTTATTCACATAAAATGTGAGATGGATCTCTTGATTTTCATTTTATAGATGGGGTCAGTTAAGGATCAGAAATGTAAAGTAACTTCTCATGGGTACAGCAAGGGGGTGAACCAGGATGGAAACCAGATCTACTGATTCAAATTCTGTGGTTTTCTCTCCCCAGAGCTTGTCCCTCCCTCCATGAATCAAGCCTAGGAAGCTGAGATGGAACAAAAAAAGGAAAGGAAAAGGAAGAAAAGGTGACTTTGAGTTTACGCTGCCCTTCTTATCATCTAAGATTTTTCTGAAATTCCTTCAACAACTAAGGAAAACCACACACACTAAAAAAATCCAACCCGACAGCTTGCAGTAGCCTGGGATTCCAGAACAAATACTCAAATTGGCAGGACACATAGTATCCTTCCTCTCAGTGGGTCACGTGAAGACATTGCCCAACATCTGTCATGTGCGTCTGGGAATATATATTTATTTCTTGCTGAATGCTCAGATACCTCTTTCTGGTGCCCAAAAGAACTGCTACATCCTACCTTCTGATCGAATCTAAAAATGCCATCAAAATCTGGCCTCAAAGACCTACAAATTCTTTTAAATATAGGATGCTTCAGTATCCTCCCAACCTCCTAAGAGAATGAGATGAAATCATGCCAAATGTTGAGTAAATGGGAGGGGTTTTTCAGTGGAAATCATAATGCTATGCTGTGGCCACATGTTCACAATACTTTGGGGGTGGGAGAGTGATCCCTCTGCCTGGATAGGCTGGAAGGCTATGTAACATTTTGTTCAGGGGAAATACAGTCCAGATTCAAGAGTCAAGACCAAATCATAAGACTCACTGGAGTCAAACACTGGTACCACCAGCCCAACTGCTTCTAGACAGCTGTGCGTTCACCCTAACAAAACCACTTAGAACATACCTATATGGAAAAAAACAAAGCAAAATCTAGACATCCACTGAATCTCAGCATGTGGCCTCTCAGAAAACTGATCCATAAATCACTTAATATCTGATGATTATTCCCAAGAGCTGGTGAAGGTGGCTTTAACCACCGAAGGGATAATAATATAGTGAATTAATTACTCATTTTATCACCAATTGCCAAATTATTATTGAAAACAGCTGTTTTTTACCAATTCAGGAAGACATTCAAGACCTAGTACTGAGTGGGGAGGTAGACTACAGAAGTTTTTGTGGCGAAAATAACCACCAAACTATGTGATAGAATAAAACCTTGAGAAACAGGTAATGTCAACTGCTGTCTGTGTATACTGAGCTCATAAACTATTTTTTTCCCTTTGCAATTTTCTGCATTTTTGCTAGGCATATATAACTGGATTAAAATATATATATTTTTTGACACGGAGTCTTGCTCTGTCACCCAGGCTCCCAGGCTTCCAGGCTGGAGTGCTGAGGCAGGATCTTGGCTCACTGCAACCTCCGCCTCCCGGGTTCAAGCAATTCTCCTGCCTCAGCCTCTCAAGTAGCTGGGACTATAGACACCCGCCCTCACGCCTGGCTAATTTTTGTATTTTTAGTAGAGATGGGGTCTCACCATATTGGTCAGGCTAGTCTCAAACTCCTGACCGTGTGATCTACCCACCTTGGCATCCCAAAGTGCTGGGATTACAGGCATGAGCCACTATGCCTGGCCAAAAGATTCTTTAAATAAGAATTGTTTCTAGGAAGTGCCTTCATAGCTCACTGGGGCTATATACATCCCTATTCTGCTGATTTGTCACATGATCAAAATTACTAGACAAGGTTCAGTAAAACAAAGCACTGAGGAAAAAAAAAATACCCAAATTAGCAGACAGTACTTTTATATTTTTTAAAAGAGTGGGCCAAAGGTTGCAGTGAGCCGAGATTGTGACACTGCACTCCAGCTTGAGAGGGAACTAGCTTGAAAGAGAACCAGCTGAGAGATCCTGTCTCAAAAAACACAAAAATACAAATAAAATGTGAATGAATGAATGGGCCAAAAAATTTCCAAGAATTTCAGCTAAGCCTAGCATTATCATGGGAGTCACTGGTATCCAATTTTTTTTTTTTTACATGGCAGCTGAATCTAGTCTAGCAAGATGTTGAAAAGTGGTATAAATATTTAGTATTTCCATCCTTTAATTTTATTATATCAACCTGAAAGATTAAATACTTAATCTTCCATACTAGTCTCTCTCTCTCTCTTTTTTTTTTTAGATGGAGTCTCGCTTTGTTGCCAGGCTGGAGTGCAGTGGCATGATCTCAGCTCACTGCAACCTCCAACTCCCTGGTTCAAGCTATTCTCCTGCCTCAGCCTCCTGAGTAGCTGGGATTAAAGGCACATGCCACCATGTCTAGCTAATTTTTGTATTTTTAGTAGAAATGGGGTTTCACCATGTTGGCCAGGATGGTCTCAATTTCCTGACCTCAAGATCCGCCGCCTTGGCCTCCCAGAGTGGGATTTACAGGATTAAGCCACCACGCCTGACCTTTTTTTGCCTTTAAAAAACTTTTTTGGTACTGCTCCTTGTGGGACAGGGGTATCCCACTGTCAGCGTGCCCATGCAAATCTTTTTTTTGGAGACAGAGTTACACTCTTGTCACCTAGACTGGAGTGCAGTGGTGCGATCTTGGTTCACTGTAACCTCTGCCTCCGGGGTTCAAGCGATTCTCCTGCCTCAGTCTCCCAAGTAGCTGGGATTACAGGCGCACACCATCATGCCTGGCTAATTTTGGTATTTTAAGTAGAGATGGGGTTTCACCATGTTGGCAGGCTGGTCTTGAACTCTAGACCTCAAATGATCCACCCTCCTTGGCCTCCCAAAATGCTGGGCTTACAGGCATGAGCCATTGTGCCCACACAGCCCATGCAAATCTTAAATGCTTACACTTATTTTTTGAAAACTTGATTGATAGAGAAATAAGTCTTTTTTGAAAAAATAAGTCATCCAAATCAGCCTGAGAACTAGTTGCAGAGGAGGACACTTCATCTTGCTTTAGAGAACCTAAAAGGAGGGAGAATTGGAGAAAGTCACGTATGGACTCACCTTGCCAGCAAGATTCCCTGATACTCTTCCAGTTGTCTCATGAAGCTGGGGTTGGGCTTGGTCACTGTTCGTCTTTCTTTCACGTAGTCATAGGCTCGGTCCAGATTCCAGCCATATTCCTTCATTGCATAGGCAATCACCGTGGAGGCTGAGCGACTCACCCCCATTTTGCAGTGCACAAGGCATTTAGATCCATGTTTCCTTGTTTGAGGGATTGAGGTAAAGAACAGAGGAAGACACAACAGTGGGGATATTTTAAAAGCTGGGTTATAGATTTTTCCAAGTATCCTGTCCTGTCCTTCCATTTTCTTGCTGTGCAGTCTCTCTACTTTGGTATACTCCCATACATCTATAATCAAATATGTGGGTAGGGTAGGGGAGGCAGCTCTAGTGTCTTTTAAAACAATATTCAAGGTTAATAATATATTTCTTTAATCCATTCAGCAAACATTTACCAGGTATTTATAATACGTGTAAGACAAGAAACAAAGTGCTGGGGTACAAAGTAACATATAGCTTTTATCCTAACGGGTAGGATTTAGTGGGAGAAACATACAGTTAAAATTCAATATGGGGCCAGGCACAGTGGTTCATGCTTGTAATCCCAGCACTTTGGGAGGCTGAGGTGGGTGGATCACTTGAGGTTGGGAGTTCGAGAACAGCCTGGGCAACATGGCGAAACCCCATCTCTACTAAAAATACAAAAATTAGCTGGGCAGGCCAGGTGCAATGACTCACACCTGCAATCCTAGCACTTTGGGAGGTTGAGGTGGGTGGATCATGAAGTCGGGAGTTTAAGACCAACCTGGCCAAGATGGTGAAACCCTGTCTCTACTAAAAATACAAAAAAATTAGCTAGGCATGGTGGCAGGTGCCTGTAATTTCAGCTACTCAGGAGGCTGAGACAGAGAATTAATTGAACCCAGGAGGCTGAGGTTACAGTGAGCTGAGATTGTGCCACTACACTCCAGCCTGGGCAACAGAGTAAGAGTCTGTCTCAAAGAAAAAGAAAAGAAAAGGAAAAAGTTCAATATGGTAAGTGCAATGACAATTGGTCACAGGGTGGAGAGGGAGCATTTTAAATTTAGACTGGAGCCCATTTTGTGTGGTGGAGGCCAGTTCCCTCACAGCCCCAGGGGCATGTTTCATGGCTGACACTCTCTTGAGTTACAGGTGTGGCTCTGAGTGAACTAATTTATTCAAATGTTATGAGATGTTTCCAGCTTAAGTTCCAGTAAGGGTTCTGTCCTTGGAAAAAAGCACAAACCAAATGAAACTAACCTTCTTCTCTACTCAGATATAGCACTGGATAGTACTTTTCACAGACATGCAACCCGGATCTAGGGACGGGCTCTACCACTGAGGAGCTGAATGGGGGCATGTGGTGTACCACTTGGCTTTCTCAGTGATGAGGGAGGAATGAAGGAAAACTGTGGGGTTTTCTTCTTTTTTTAAATTAGGTGGAAGAAAGAGAAAACAAAGCTACCTAAAGCTATGCTAACAAACAAAACCCCTGAGGCTTAAAATGCTGGAGCTTACTCTGGAATATGAACATTATTTAGTAGGCTAATTATGCTAACAACACAGTGTCTGGCACATAGTAAACTTTCAAATATTAAATATTGGCTAAATGTATAAATAAACCTGTGGATCTGCTGATTAGGTCTACCAGGTGCTTAAAGTAGGAACAACATTAAAAAATCTGGAAATAAGAACTGTTATCCTTATCCTAGCATACATGGGCTCTGGAATCTTTCCCCAGTGGTTATTCCAATAAACCAAAAAATGTACATGTCAGCATAACAAGGGAAATCTATTCATCCACTCACTCACTATTATGATGGTAGACAAGCTTCCTTTCAGAAGCTTATAATCCTGCTTCTGGAGAAAGAGACATATGAAAGACTTCAGTATAAACACAAGGAAGTATGTGGTTAAGTGCCAAAATGAGTTAGCCAGGTAAGCTACAGGAATGCAGAAAATGGGCTGGAATAATGGAAAGTCCCAAAGGGAAGGTAATATTAACCTCCCACTTGTGAGTTAGGTACAAAATTTGGGTGTCCTAACATTAATTGGGGGGTGTGTCTCTCTGTGTAGTTTAGCCCAAATGACTAGGAAATATCTGTTTACTTATGGCACCCTAGGGTTTACATTTAGACTACAGTTAGGAAGCTAATGCAGTCTCTCAGAAGGAAGTTTAGACATGTGCTCTACATTTTCCCATCAAGCTCTGACAACCTTAATGTATCAAGTTTCAGGTCTATGCCTGTAGCATGCAAGGTGCTCAAACTTGGACAACCACAAGTAAAATTCAATTACGAAATCCACTTCCATGAAGACATCTCTTTGGCATATTTTCAACTAGGCTTTTTTGGTCGATACTCCCACCTCCTTTAGCCTTCCAAATAGCTGGGATCACTGGCAAATGGCTTCTAACTCATGTAATGAAGGATCTGAAGTCAGTTATCCCCTAACCTAATTCCACCTTTCAGTGCCCCTACCCATGCTGGACTGTCTAGATTAAGCCTGGTGTCACTTTAAGAATCAGGGTCTTGGTTGGGCACAGTGGCTCACGCCTGTAATCCTAGCGCTTTGGGAGGCCAAGGCGGGCAGATTACAAGGTCAGGAGTTTGAGACCAGCCTGGCCAATATGGTAAAATCCTGTCTCTACTAAAAATACAAAAATTGTCACCCGTGGTAGTGGGTGCCTGTAGTTAGTCCCAGCTACTTGGAGGCTGAGGGAGGAGAACTGCTTGAACCCAGGAGGTAGAGGTTTCATTGAGCCATGACTGTGCCACAGTACTCCAGCCTAGGCGACAGAGCAAGACTGTCTCAAAAAAAAAATTAAAAAAAAAATATATATATATATCAGGGTCTTTGGTTGGGCAGGGTGGCTCACGCCTATAATCCCAGCAGTTTGGGAGGCTGAGGCAGGCAGATCACTTGAGCTCAGGAGTTCAAGACCAGCCTGACCAACATGGCAAAACCAACATAAATCAGCTGGTATGGTAGCGAGTTCCTATAATCCCAGGTACTCAGGAGGCTGAGGCAGGAGAATTGCTTGAACCCAGGAGGTGGAGGTTGCAATGAGCCAACACCGTGCCACAGCACTCCAGCCTGGGCAACAGAGCGAGACTCTGTCTCAAAAAAAAAAAAAAAAAAAAAAAAATCAGGGTCTTGGGCTGGGCACAGTGGCTCATGCCTGTAATCCTAGCAGTTTGGTTGGGAGGCTGAGGCAGGTAGATCACTTGAGCTCAGGAGTTCAAGACCAGCCTGACCAACATGGCTAAATCCACAAAAATCAGCTGGTTGTGATAGCCCGTTCCTGTAATCCCCAGCTACTCAGGACGCTGAGGCAGGAGAATCACTTGAACCCAGGAGGTGGAGGTTGTGGTAAGCCGATATCATGTCATTGCACTCTTATCTGGTTGATAAGAGCCAGATTCTGTCTCAAACAAACAAACAAACAAACAAATATCAACAACTGGGTACTGATTAGGATAAGACATAGGAACATTTAAAGAGATACTCACTCCTAGGTGCTGACTTATGCTTGAAGAAACCTGAGAGTGAGTGCCCCCATTGTGCCCTGGGTGTCCCCATATGTCTCTCCCTAATCCCAAGTAAAATTAGCCTTTCTTTTCATGGGGGCTGGGGCCTAGCCTCTAGTACCTTTTCCTTATAGACCTAGACTATTCCAGTACCCACAGATTCTGAAATAAGACATTTTTTCTTTTTTTCCTAAATCCAGGCTCAAGTGCGGTGGTTGACCACAGCTCACTGCAGCCTTAATCTCATGGGCTCAAGAGATTCTCCCACCTCCCTCAGCCTTCCAAGTAGCTGGGATCACAGACATGCACCACTTTGCCTGGCTAATTAAAAAAAATTTTTTTGGGGGGTAGAGATAGGAGTCTTGCTATGTTGCTCAGGCTGGTCTTGAACTTCCGGACTCAAGTGATCCTCCCACCTCAGCAAGATCTTTGTTCAAGTTTTATCTTCAACACTTCTTTGACCTCTCTGAATGTCAGCTCTATAGTCTGTTCTCATCTGTACAGGAGGATGACAAGATCTGCCCCTCTGGATCCTTGAAAATACTACGTGAGAGAATAGTGAGCATGCATGAATGGTATTACTACTGGGAATAATTAACAGAATTCAAAAATATAAAACACTCTTTTAGGTACTTCCTGGAGACTAAAGGAATAGGCTCAAAGCTAGAATATGAGGATTTAGGGAAAGTAAGAGGAAGAATTTCCTGACTGTGAAGGTCCTTAAGAGAAGTGTGGAATTATTTTTGAAGAACTTTAAATACAAAAGCACTTCTCATCTGCCAGGGATGGTTTGAACATAGTCCTACTTGAAGGGAGATGTGGCAAACAAACTCATTTGTGGTTCCCTCTAGTAAAGGAATAAATAAGATTGGTAAGGAAATCCCCAAGGGTTTTTTTTAAAAAAAGCAGTGTTGACATTAACACGAAACACTAAGTTAATACAAAATAGTTTCATTAAAAGAGCCTACTAATTTGAGGAAGACCTCAACAGAAGGGCCACAGAAAAATTTCATCATTTAGAGTATCATACAAACAAAGAGAAGAGGAAAAGATTTCCAAAGTTTGTCTCCTTGTCTTTAGTGGGGAGGACCAGTATTCTATGTATCTGGAATAATTTCTACGATGTAACTTTTAAATCGCCCCACTGGCAACTTAAGAGTTTCATTCAGAATTTCTTCCTTCTCTCATTTCTGTATCTTTTGCTGCAGTCTAAGTCTATTTTCTTTAATTCTGTGCTCAATGGAAATAGCCAACATGAGGTTACTTTCTCCCAGGTGCTTGCTTGACTTAAAGTGAGTCACTAGTCTTTTGCCTAGGATTAAGAAGATTTCAGTCTCCTCCTTTCTTTAGTTTCTTTTTCCTGAGTACCATCAGTAAGTGTCTGTAGCCCTCAGGACCCAGTCACGTGCTGGGCAAGAGGAACAGGGTTCACAACATTGTGCAGGACTATTACTTACTTTGCTTTAGAGATGAATTTGTAAGTGTCATTCCAGTAAGCCAGAAGATCTGTTGCCTCTTCATCATATACCCGAATGTTATGATACTCAAAGACTCCTGGGAAGAAGTTATCTATCTCTCGAGTGACATTCAAGATATACCGTACCCTGCAAGGAAATCAAGGGAGAATATGTACTCCACTACTCAAGCTAAATCCAATTCGAAGCATTGTTTTTCCTTACTTAAAACTTGTTAACTCCATAGGCTGAAATTAAGTACAAAAATAATAAAGAAAGCTAAAAAACTAAGAGGTTATATTTATTTATTAGAGAAATTATACAACAGGATTCCTGGGCATACCTGGGCACCAGTGAGTTATTAAGCAAAAAGTTTTCCACTATGTTCAATATCTAAATTCTGTTTTCAGTTTATGTAGTTATGCAATCTCATCTTTGATAGTCTTCTAAAAATATACTCTCAGTTTACTCCAAAGAATCAATTTGAGGCCATAATCAGACACTTTCTCTGTTATTAAAATTATCAGCAATATAATTTATTATCTGAAAGTCATCTGTATAAAATCACACTACTGACATGGACTCCAAGAAAAAAAACAGCGAACGAATAACAATTTCTTCCTATTTTTCTAAATGCCAGATTGTTAGGTTTTGTGCTATTACTCTTGCTAAACTACATAAAAGGCAAATGAGGCCAGAACTGGAAGAGTCAGAGAAAAACTGGACTTAAAACTCCCTTAAACTCATCTGACTGCATTACTGGCTGCTATGGCAGCAATGTGTCTGAAGCTTTTTCCATACTAAGACGCTTGCAGAAGAGTTTCTCTATCAAAACAGTCTTCTGTTATCTCTCTCACTATAAAATCTCAATACATGCCTGAGTTTCATTTACCAAATGCTGTCTTTTCTTAATGCTGTGTGGACTTAGACATAGCTGGATGTCTAAGTTTACTCCAACAACATGGACTCACTCATTTCTCTCTGAGATGCTGCTTCCTTCTCAGAACAAATGTGAAGTTCTATAAACGCAAACTCTGAAATTGATGAAATGAATACAGAAAAAGAAAGCAGCCACAGGTAACCAAATCTGTGGTTAAGGCCAAGTGGCCAAAAATTTTCTTAGACATGAATTGAATCTGTTTTTAACTTGGCATCAAAGCCCATTACTACAAAAAAAAAAAAAATTTTTTTTTTTTTTTTAATTTAGAAAGCAAGCTCAGCTGGGCGCAGTGGCTCACACCTGTAATCCCAGCACTTTGGGATGCTGAGTGGCACGAATCATCTAAGGTGAGAAGTTTGAGACCAGCCTGGTCAACACAGCGAAACCCCAGCCCTACTAAAAATACAAAATTAGCTGGGCGTGGTGGCACATGTCTGTAATCCCAGCTACTTGGGAGGCTGAGGCAGAAGAATCGCTTGAACCTGGGAGGTGGAGGCTGTGGTGAGCCAAGATCACACCATTGCACTCCAGTCTGGGCAACAAGAGCAAAACTCAGTCTCAAAAATAAAAAAAAAATAAAAAAAAAAGCAAGCTGATGGTAGAAATGTAAAATGGTGTAACTGCTATGGAAAACAGTACAGCAGTTTCCCTAAGGTTAAACACAAAATTACCACAGGACCCAGCAATTCCTTTCCAAAGAATAAATCCAAGAGAAATAAAAACATAAGCTCACCCAAAAACTTGTACACAAATGGTCACAACCAGCATTATTCAAACTAGCCAAAGAGTTAGTTAGTTCAAACTAGCTAGTTATTCAAACTAACCAAAGAGTTTGTTAAGCTGATGAACATTAGTGATTTCTAGGAATTGTTGAGGCAGAGGTAAGAAGGAAAATGGAGGTGACTCCTGAAGGGTACAGGCTTTCTTTCTGGGTTGAAAAATGTTCTAAACTGATTGTGGTGATGGGTTGCACAGCTTTGTGAATATACTAAAAACCAACAAACTGTACATTTAAAATGGGTGAATCATATGGTATGTAAATTATATTTGAATAAAACTGCTAGGAAAAAAGGCAACACTCTAGCCTGGGTGACAGGAAGAGAAAAAAAAAAAGGAAAAAAGGCAGGCAACACACTTTCCTTATTTTATTATATTGTTTATTTATTTTTCCGAGATGGAGTCTTGCTCTGTAGCCCAGAACTGGAGTACAATGGCAAGATCTTGGCTCATTGCAACTTCTGCTTCCTGTGTTCAAGCAATTCTCCTGCTTTAACCTCCTAAGTACCTGAGATTACAGGTACGTGCCACCATTCCTGGCTAATTTTTGTGTTTTTAGTAAAGACGGGGTTTCACTATGTTGGCCAGGCTGGTCTCGAACTTCTGACCTCATGATCTGCCTGCCTTGGCCTCCCAAAATGCTGGGATTACAGGTGTGAGCCACCACACTCAACCTCCTCATTTTATTTAAAATAAAAATGAACACTCTCCCACCTCTAATCCCGGATCTCAGTAATCAATTATGACACTATTTTTCTAGAGGCAGGACACAGCTTCCCAATCCTTTTCATTATAGAGCTGTAAGCAGTCACTGGCAATTGGAACTGAAACTCCTTGAAACTTTTTTGCCATCTAGGCACCAAATGACTCTATACAGAGTAACATTTTACTTTGGGTTAGGTTCTGAAGTCAGTAGATTGCATGGAAATGGCCTTAATGTCAAAATTATCCTTAAAAATCGCATAAGTTATCTCCATGGGGTAGTACAAATGGTTCTGTGTTCAGATCCCTGAACTATAATTCTTCACATATTAAAATTTAACAATCACTGAATTTAAGAAACAAGATCTAAGTGGTTATCTGGAAATTCGACCATACTGTTTTTAAAGACAACTAGATATACTTAGTTGCATTTTATAATTTAGCCTTCTAAGAAGCAACTGAGATGATGGGTCTTATCTCCAGCTGAGATTATGTTCTAAATTCATATGTATATATGACATGATTCCAATGCTTTTGGCAAACACTACTATACCAAATCTCAGATTTCATACTAAACACTGTATCTACGTTTCCCAGAATTACAGATTTTTTTTTCCAGAGTCTCACTCTGTTGCCCAGGCTGGAGTGCAGTAGCATGATCTTGGCTCACTGCAACCTCGGCTTCCCCGATTCAAGCAATTCTCCTGCCTCAGCCTCCCAAGTAGCTGGGATTACAGGTGCCCACCATCATGCCCAGCTAATTTTTTGTATTTTTAGTAGAGATGAGGTTTCACCATGTTGGTCAGGCTGGTCTTGAATTCCTGACCTCAAGTGATCCACCTGCCTCAGCCTCCCAAAGTGCTGGGATTACAGGTGTGAGCCACTACACCTGGCCAGAATTACAGAATTTTTAAAGCTTGATGACTTGGGAAGTTTGTAAAAAAAACATTGTCCCATTAGCTGGGCATGGTGGCGCGTGCCTGTAATCCCAGATACTCAGGAGGCTGAGGCAGGAGAATTGACTGAACCCAGGAGGCGGAGGTTGCAGTGAGCTGAGATTGCACCATTGCACTGCAGCCTGGGTAAAAACAGCGAAACTACGTCTCAAAAAAAAAAAAAAAAAAAAAAAACAAAACACAAAGAAAACATTGTCCCACTCCTAAGGAAATCTTTTTTTTTTTTTTTTTTGAGACGGAGTTTAGCTCTCCTTACCCAGGTTGGAGTGCAATGGCGCGATCTCGGCTCACCGCAACCTCCGCCTCCTGGGTTCAGACAATTCTCCTGCCTCAGCCTCCCGAGTAGCTGGGATTATAGGCACGTGCCACGATGCCCAGCTGATTTTTTGTATTTTTTAGTAGAGACGGGGTTTCACCATGTTGACCAGGATGGTCTCGATCTCTTGACCTCGTGATCCACCCGCCTCGGCCTCCCAAAGTGCTGGGATTACAGGCGTGAGCCACCGCTCCCGGCCTTTTTTTTTTTAAAGACGGGGTTTCACCATGTTGGTCAGGCTGGTCTTGAACTCCTGACTTAGGGTGATCCACCCGCCTTGGCCTCCAAAGTGCTTGGATTACAGGCGTGAGCCATTGCGCCCGGCCTTAACTTCAAATCTTAAATTAAGCAACCAGATTCCCTCCCTGGAATTCTTTGTATAATCATTTGTGTTAAGTCCTGTTCCAAGTTCATTCTGCCAGTTATGAAATACCTTTCATGTGGGGAAGAAGTAGGGCATACTTTTATCCACTCATGATAAAGATAACTAGAAGGCTTATGGCTGAGAAAACAGGCAGCCAGCAACCATCACTACCTCTGAGTCCCAGCTGGTCATATCTCTTTCCACTAGGAAGAGTTAGCATGGCAAATTTCAGACCTGAGTTTCTCTTTTCTTATTGGGATGACCTGACTTCCTAAAGTGAATGAACTTCAACGAGAAACTTAGTAGGCATTAGATAAGGGAAGAATGGTAGCTTTTTTACTTGCTGAATGTTCACTGCAGTCTTGATTGCTACAATCAATAACCATGCTGCTTAGGGACAATTTTCTTAATATAGTAGGTCCTCTTCAGTTTCATAAGCTTGTCCAGTTCACATCTATAACCTACAGAGTCTTCAAGCAGTTTACTACACAGGATAGGGACTGAGTCTTGATTTATCTGTGGATCCCTAGCACCTGGCACTTTATCCCAAAGAAGATGCTCAATAAATGATGAATGAACAGCTCTGTGAGCCCAACATATGCAATTCTATGTATTCTTGCATAAAAGTAAAAATTTGATTTTAAACATCATCAAAGGTTTGCATATTTGTTTTTCAAAGTCTTTCAATTAAAGCAGCTGATATTTCTTGGGAGGTGGGGAATGAAACAGAGGGAGAATAGCTGTTCTTATTTTTCTTAGATTACATCTGATTAGAATCAGTCGGAAGCAACTCTTAAGATTAAAGTTACCCATTGATACCTCCTTGATGGGAAAATGTAAAGATAAAACAGGGATTTCTGTCACATAGGGATGTCAGCAAATACTTTGTGTGCTTACCCTCGGTTCTGTAAGTCCTCTAAGTTGGAGGCATTCCATTCTGAGCCCTGTGGAGCCAAAAAGACAAGGTTAAGGAGTATTAGAAAACAACCAAATACAATACTTGAAAATGAGTGAGGGAAAGAGCAGAACTTTCAAAATGAAGACTAATAATATCTACCCAGTGCCCTTTAAGTGCCAGCAACTTCATATGTTATCATATGTAGTTTTCACAAATGATAGAGTAAGAATGTTATTTACATCTTCATTTTTACAGATATAGAACCAACTCACAGAATTCAAATAATTTTTGCTCATGATCATAGAGCAGACGGGTCTTTAACCATCATCCAATTGAAATTAGACGTCTTCTGCTATTCTTGCTCATAGCAATCTGATATTTTCCTCTACAGCATGTATCACAATTTGTAGCTATATATTTATTTATGTGCTTGTTTTCACACTACCTTTAACATAAGCTCCTAAAGGGCAGGAACCAGCTCTTTTGTTCCCTATGGAAACCCATGCACCTTGCACAGTGCTTGATAAACATTTGCTGAATTTTCAGATACAAAAGCAGCATTATTATGTTTTGAACTACACCTTATTCCGAAGCTCACACTCTTTTTAGTGCATTAAGTTGGATCTGAGGAGTTAAAGGACAGAACATGTGTGTGGCAAGAAAAGAGAGTGAAAAAGCAGCTTCTGTCAAACAGATAAGGGAAACATGATATGTAACACTTTAAGATAGGGATAAATGGCAAATGTTGGAGAGGAGGTTCTGCAGATGATCTGGAGGATACATCAATTATTAATATTTTGCCACATTTGCTCTCTTTTCTTCTTTCCCTTTTCTTTCAGTATATCCTACTTTTTTTCCGCTGAACCATCTGAGAGCAATTTGTGAACCATGACACTTAACTTCAATACTTGAGCATGTATGATCTAAGAACATTTTCTTATATCATGATATCAAAGAAATGTAACATTAATACAATAACCTAATATATTATACGTTTTGATTTCCACAAATGTCCCCAAAATGTCCTTTATATATGTTCACTCAATCAATAATCATTTTTCACATTTAGTTGTCATATCTCTATCTTCTAGCTACATTTTTTTTTTTTTGAAACAGAGTCTTGCTCCATTATCCAGGCTAGAGGGCAGTGGTGTGATCTTGGCTCACTGCAACCTCCACCTCTGGGGTTCAAGCGATTCTCCTGACTCAGCCTCCCAAGTAGCTGGGATTATAGGTGTGCATCACCATGCCCAGCTAATTTTTGTATTTTTAGTAGAGATGGGGTTACATCATGTTTCCCAGGCTGGTCTTGAACTCCTGACCTCAAGTGATCCATTTGCCTTGGCTTCCCAAAGTACTGGCATTATAGACGTGAGCCACTGTGCCCAGCCTACTTATTTTTTTTAGAGACAGAGTCTTACTCTGTTACCTAGGCTGGAGTGAAGTGGCATACTGCAGCCTTGAACTCTTGGGCTCAAATCATCCTCCTGTCTCAGCCTCCTGAGTAGTTGAGGTTACAGGTATGCAACACCATGCCTGGCTAATTTTTTCACTTTTGTTTTTTAGAGATGGAGGTCTCACTATGTTGCTCAGGCTGGTCTCAAACTCTTGGCCTCAAGTGATCTTCCCCATGTTGGCCTCCCAAAATGTCGGGATTACAGAGTAAGCCACCACACCCCAGGCTAGCTTTAAAATAGTCCATCTTCTGCTTTCTTTGGGAGTGGAAGGGTCTTTCATGATATTGACATTTTTGTAGACTCCAGATTTGTTATCTTGGAGAATTCCCCACAACCTGTATATATTTTTTTCTGAGATGGAGTCTTGCTGTCACCCAGGCTGGAGTGCACTGCAACCTCTTCCTCCCGGGTTCAAGGGAGTCTCCCACCTCAGCCTCCTGAGTAGATGGGATTACAGGTGCACACCACCACGCCTAGCTAATTTTGTATTTTTAGTAGAGATGAGGTTTCTTCATGTTGGTCAGGTTGGTCTTGAACTCCTGACCTTGTGATCCACCTGCCTCGGTCACCCAAAGTACTGGGATTACAGGCGTGAGCCACCATGCCCAGCTGTATTTTTTTTTTGGAGGCAGGATCTTGTTATGGTGACCAGGCTGGAACTCAGTGGCTGTTCACAGGTGCCATCATTGTGTGCTACAGCCTTTAACTTCTGGCCTCAAGTGATCTTCCTGTCGCAGTCTCCTGAGTACCTGGGACTACAAGTGCATGCTACTGTACCTGGCTTGCATTCAATTTTCGAGTGCTTTTTCTATTCTTTTCCATTTAATATTTTGAGCATGCAAAACTTTTATGTGATTAAAAGTCAAAAGTTTATTAAAAAGTAAACGTAGAAGTCTCATTGTCACTCCTATCTCTTTAATTCCTATTGGTAACATTTTTATTAGTTTCTGATTTATTCTATTTTGAAAAAATATAAGCAAACATATAGCAATATATACTTATTGCTACTTCTTACTCATATTACCAATTCTTATGAAAAAGTAGTATGCTACACATTGTTTTTGTTCACTGCTTTCATTTTACATATATTTCATTTTATATATCCTCAAAACCAATACATATAACAGTTCATAGAAATCTTCCTTATTCTTTCCTACATCTGCATAGTACTTCATGAATAGTGATGTAATAGTTTATTCAACTTGTCTCCTATGAATGATATTTCATATTTGTGGAAGCAGGATTGCTGGGACAAAGAAAGAATATGGTTTTGTTAGACAATGTTAAATTTCCCTCCATAGAGGTTGAAGCAATTCTGTGTTCCCACCAGCAATGCATGAGAGCACCACTTTCCCCATAACCTTTCCAATAAAATGTGTGGTTAAGTTTTTGAATTTCTTCCAATCTGATAGGTGTCTCAATGTAGTTTCAATTTGCATTTCTCTTATGAGTAAAAGTGAGCAACTTTTCATTGTTTAAGGTCAATTTTCTGTCTCTGAGCTATCCGTTCTTATCTTCTAAAAAGGCAGACATTTTATTTTATTTTTATTAAATATATATATATTTTGAGACAGAGTCTCGCTCTGTTGCCAGGCTAGTGTGCAGTGGTGTGATCTCAGCTCACTGCAATCTCTGCCTTCTGGGTTCAAGCTATTCTCTTGCCTCAGCCTCCCGAGTAGCTGGGATTATAGGCGCGTGCCACTATGCCCGGCTAATTTTTGTATTTTTAGTAGAGATTGGGTTTCACCATGTTGGCCAGGATGGTATCAATTTCCTGACCTCATGATCCGCCCACCTCAGCCTCCCAAAGTGCTGCGATTACAGGCATGAGCTACCAAGCCTGGCCAGGGCAGACATTTTATAATAAGAGTTTACTCTTTTAGATTTAAAGGCATTAAATGGAATTCAGCATTAGAAAACTTAGGTTCGGGTTCTGACTGCCCTTCCTACTGTGGGGACATTAGGGCAGACTGCTTAACCTCTCTTTTTGTTATTATTATTTTTTGAGACAGAGTCTTGCTCTGTTGCCAGGCTGGAGTGCAGTGGTGTGATCTCCACTCACTGCAACCTCCACCTCCTGGGTTCATCAAGTGATTCTCCTGCCTCAGCCTCCCAAGTAGCTGGGGCTATAGGCATGTGCCACTATGCCCAGTTAATTTTTGTATTTTTAGTAGAGACAGGGCTTCACCATGTTGGCCAGGATGGACTCAATTGCTTGACCTTACGATCCACCTACCTCAGCCTCCCAAAGTGCTGGGATTATAGGCATGAGCCACTGCACCCGGCCAACCTCTCTGTCTTTATTTGTAAAATGAAAACACCCTTCCCATCTGAGTCCTATATATTTAATAGGTTCCTTTCCCTCAAATTATACATGCAAAGTTTTCCCATATTAAAATGGAAAACCCCTCTCTTTGTCATAAATCCTCCTGTAGACTCTGTTCTTTCTCCCTTTCCTACATGGCTTCATAGAAATAAAGTCAAATACTCACTTCTGGCTGGGGGCAGTGGCTCACTGTAATCGCAGCACTTTGGGAGGCTGAGGCAGGTGGATCATGAGGTCACAAGTTTGAAACCAGCCTGGCCAATATGGTGAAACCCCATCTCCACTAAAAATACAAAAATTAGCCAGGCGTGGTGGCACACGCCTGTAGTCCAGCTACTTGGGAGGCTGAGGCAGAAGAATCGCTTGAACCTGGGAGGTGGAGGTTGTAGTGAGCTGAAATCACACCACTGCACTCCAGCCTGGGCCAAAGAGTGAGAAGCCTGAATCCCAGCAATTTGGGAGGCCAAGGCAGACAGATACCTGAGGTCGGGGATTGGAGACTAGCCTGACCAACATGGAGAATCCCGGTCTCTAATAAAAATACAAAAAATTAGCTGGGTGTGGTGGTGCATGCCTGTAAACCCAGCTACTCGGGAGGCTGAGGCAGGAGAATTGCTTGAACCTGGGAGGCGGAGGTTAAGGTGAGCCAAGATTGCGCCATTGCACTCCAGCCTGAGCAACAAGAGTGAAACTCAGTCTCAAAAAAAAAAAAAAAAAAAAAGAAAGAAAGAAAAAAAAGAAAATCAAACACTCACTTTCTGTATTTCCTCATTTTTCACGTCTCAATCCATAGCACTTTGGCCTCTGCCATTATCAGTATTGCTGATGTTACTAATGACCTCTCCTAATTGTCTGTATTCTTATTCCACTGGCTTTCTCTGAGTATCTATCTGATATGGCTCATCATGCTTTCCTTTCAGAATTAGATCAGACTGTACAAATACCTAGTCTCATGCCTCACACAATAAAGAGGATCGACAAATGTTTGTTAATTGGAAGATCAAATGTGACCATTAGATGAAGCACTATGAAAACTGTCAAGTGTTGTATAAGTACTATCATATTACAGGTGATCTGTAATCTGGCCATTGAACTGGGAGATCTCAAGGACACTGTGTTGAAATTCCATTTAGGAAAAGGTCAGTAAGTGATGTACAGGCAAGGGCCCTGCTGGCTTGTTTTAAAAAACATGGGAGGTTCTGAAGGTTCTGCTCAACCTTAGAAAACAAGCTCCCACACCAAAGAAATAGGCAAGAACCATAA